ACTTAAAAAAAAACATCAGTGAGGGAGGCCCTTAATCTTAAAGAGAGCGCTAAATAAGCTTGGTTTGGGCACACTGAGACAAATGTAATGATTTTACAACTGCTAGTTTACTCTTTTAAATACTGACATGTGAAAAGTTAAACATTCTCGCAATAACTTTAAAGACATGCAGATCTGTATCAAAACTTTTAGTACATTTTAGTTTTCAGTGGCCTAGGATATGGCCGTTTAAAGGCGTAGCCGTATACTGATCAACCACATTTGTATTATGTAGTATCAAGCAAACCTGAGTTAAATTAAAAAATACTTTCTTCATATTAATGCGAGTTTGAAATTCATTTGTTAGTTTTTGCAATTACTGCTCATAGGACTGTATGTAGGATGTTTCCCCTTTTTTATAAGAAAAAATACATATAAATTAGATAAATAAAGTAGCACCAAAGCATTTATAATATAAACCCACAGCTTTTTTCTTTTTCTAAAAACAAGGTGTAAAAACCACTTACTGCTGCACACTTACATTTTAGAAGCACACATTTCTATACCCGACAATAACAATTTTGTTTTTAATGCCCTGATGTAACGCTGACTTCAAATATAACTATGACTTCTATTTAAAAACAAAAACAAATAAGGAGTGCGGGCGGGGATGAGAAATACGTAATTTGTTATACTTGGCCTTATTACAATTAGAGGTATTTAAATTATAGCAAATATTGATATTAGTTACACTAAAGTATATATCTGGTATAATAGATGTTATACATAATAGATGTACAAGTAGATTATGCTGGATTGTTTTAATCCTCAAACTTAAAGATACACAAGGCACCCAGTTTCAGTATCTACACTAATACTAGTTCAGACTTAACTAACAAATCAGACCAACAATTCAAAAGATTTGGAAAACCAATTATCATAAATTTATTAACTTACGAAAATACAGTCCATGGGGAAATTCAATTTTGAGAGAAGGCGGCAAGACATTTTGTGCTTATACAGAACCATGAAAATCTTGAGGCCGCAATTCAAATTATAAGATTACTGTCTAAAATGTTCAGGAAAATTTTCCAAAAATTCATCAGCCAACTTTCTTGTGTGTAATTCTCAACAATGGCCTCATCCGGAAGTTGGAAAAATATTACAATAACAATTCATTAAAAAAAAACAGGACACAGTTCTAATTGAAATAATTTTATATTTCTTCATATAAATTATCTTTCAACGTATTTTAATTTGTATTATGTATTCAGAATTGCATAAGCAAATGAAATAATATACACAAAATATTAAAACAAAATACATTCCATGACCTACAAATTAAAGTTGTCTTTTTCTTATGAAGCTTAAAATGAGCAATATAAAGCTAGACTATAACCAACATAGATAAGTATCAAGAGGACCCATACAAATCAATGCTTAATCAGAAAAGAAAAAAGAAGAAAAAATTCTGAGACATTTGTAACCGTGTGTGTTGTCTGTGTGCGTGTGTGTGTGTGTTTGTGTGTGTGTGCTTGTGTGTGTGTGCGTGTGCGTATGTGTGTATGTGTTTGAGCGTGTGCATGTGTGTGTCTGTGTGTGTGTCTGTCTGCCTGTCTTTGTTCAATGCACTGTTTTATTTACACCCAGTAAGTTGGCGCAAGTGAAATCTGGCAGTCTTGTAATAATTGTCTGATGTTCAGTCATGCGTGAACGGATTCAAATGAAAATGGTACCTAAATGTACTGGGAGGATAACTCTATCAAGACATATCATTAAATACCTAATTAAATATTCATACTTCAAACAATACAACTTTTAAAAAGTGGGACATTCTTTCTGACTCATCCTGTAGATTTCAAACACCATTTACATGCATGATCAGTCCATTTCATCTTGTTATCAATGGTTATGCCAAACAATTTAAGTGAAGAGACCTGTTTAATTTCTGTATTACACAAACGAATAATAATAGAATCAGTGTCACATTTTTTATTAGTAAAAATCATATAATGTGTCTTACTTATATTAACTGACAATTTATTTACAGAAAACCATGTGTTTATTAACTTAATTTCTCGATTAAATATATCTTGAAGTGATTGTAACTTTTGATGGGATAAAAAAAATGCTTGTATCGTCGGCAAATAAAATTGATTTTAAAAATCTCAACACACTAGGAAGATCATTGATATATATAAAATAAACAATAGATTGCTTTGATGAAATCCGAGTACGAAAAAATTTGAAACCCCACCCGGGTCTACCCGTTTGTGGAGCCGGATATATTCTCAAAGTCGCACGCATAGGCATTGATCGTTTTGTCCTGCAAAGTCGGAGGAAAGATCGTATGCGGGTTGTTTGATGATGGATGGCTGGCGCCGCGGTAAAAGGAGGCCCGGACGGGAGGACTTTCGCACGCATAGGCATTCATCATTTTGTCTGGCCAAGTCGTAGGAAAGATCGTATGCAGGTTGTATGTTGATGGATGACTGGCGCCGCTGTAAAGGGAGAACTTAAACTGAAATAATAGTCATTATTTTGTCGAGGTCATAAGTGTATACATTATTAATTTGACATTTTATCTAACCGATTCCCCTTTTTCTCTTTAATCAATGTCCTTTTTCCCTTCTTATAAGTGCCCCTCTTCAGGTGTAAGATGTGCCCCCTTTTAACCTCTGAAAAGTGTATATTTTACTTTAACACGCGCCCATCTTCTTTTCCATTAACTGACCCTTTCTCTTCGATAAGTACCCCTTTTCTTTTTGTAAAAAGTGTCCCTTTCCCTTTCTTATAAATGTCGTCTTTTCAACTCCGATAAGTACCCCGATCCAGATATGATAAGTTCTCCCCTTTACTTTGACAAGTGCCTTTTTTCATTTGTAATAAGTGCATTTTACCAACAAAGAACTGCCCCTTTCCACCTCTGATGAGTTCCTCTTTTAGGTATGAGAAATGTCCTATTCCCTTCTGATAGTGCCCATTTCCACTTTTTAATAACTGCCCCTTTCCCCTTCTAATAAATGCCACTTTTCACATCTGATTAGTTTTCCTTATTACTTTTGATGTGATTGGCCTTTGATGTGAGTGCCCATCAATTGTCTTACCTACATTTCTCACTGCCGCTTACAAATTGTGCCCTTTTGCGATCATCTAAAGTCCCATATCTAGTTGGTTGGTTTTAACGTTATCAGGGGGCGATGGCTCTAAGTCATCATCTCCGAGGGACTTGGTTGTAAGGACTAATGCCTTAACAAAAGGCACTAGCGCATCGACCTTGTTTCGAACCCTACTGAGCCAATTCATGAACCTTCTAGTTTCAAAGAATCGGAGCAGCTTTGTGTAATAACTGGAAACTTTTTTCTTCTACTACAAGAAAGGTAGCGGAGCCGGGAGAAGGGCAGTGGGCACAATGTCCCACATTTCATAAAAAAGCTATAAAAGCTATAAAACGTCCCTTGCCTAAGCCAAGGTAATCAATTGACCTTTGTTAAAAAATATAAAGTTTGAGACCACGTTTGATTTTTCAAACTCAACTCAAATGCATTTCCATTACCAAATGTCATTCATGTTAAAAAGACTGAGACATAATTACGATACGTGTTATATGAAAAACGTTGTTATTATCCCTCATCTTCCCAGAAACAAGAGACTTCTCATAGCCTCCCTAACATTTTCCCTCAATTTAAAGCGACTGAGAGCATTTTCCCCCTTCAAATCTCCTCCAAAACTCGCTCGCTACGCTCGCTTACATTTATAGTTTATCTCATTAAGAAGCACATTGAAGGTCTTATTTATTATTTCATTATGAGATTGTGCTTAAAACCCCATCTGGATAGGTTCGTCTAATAATGAAAAGTAATCGTTCGTAATGTGACCTCAAAACACCTTACAACGTTTCGTCCCTTGCTTCGCTCGCTCGCAAAGGAATATTTAGACCATCACACACAACAACAGAGTATGATGCTGAAGCAATATCTTTGACCAAGTAAAGAGTAAATCTTGAAAATCATCCTTACAATGTAATGATTACGCTTTAGGATATTTAAATATTTCGCTTTGATGTTACCCTTTGTAGGTGCCTTTTTTCTTTCAAATAGTGCCGTTTTTAAATGGTGGCACTCCCCCCTCACTTTGAAAAAAAAACAGGCTCTGCCGCCCCTTTATTTTTACAATGTTATTGTCTTGACTAAAAATCTATTATTGCATTCTATGACTTTTGCATGTCTCGTCATCCGTTATTCACATTGATTTTCTTCTTTCTAAAGAAATAAGCTGGAAAATTAATTTAATTATAGGATACAATTTCAATTATTCCAATCTCAAAAAGAACTCAATTTTTCTCACTCCTCTGCCTCTTTTCTTCCTCTTCTTTCTCCTCTCTTTCATCTCGCTCTTTAACTCTCCCCTTCTCTCCTTCTCGCCTCTGTCTCTCACTCTATCTTGCTGTATGTGCATAATTATTTTAACATACTCCCCCGGTCGCTACGCTCCCTCGCATATGATACGGAATTTAACGCTAAGATTTCCGAAGGTTCGTTAAATCTGCCATAATTAGGTTCATAATTTCGAAAATTAGGAATAGGGTTCTCTCTCGTTTTCGGGATTATGAACCTTCAGAATGATGAACCCCTTTTCATTTTTGGAATTACAAACCTTTTAAATAACAATCATTTGGAATAAAACACCTTCAGATTAATACATTTTGGGACTTACTGACCTTCGCAAATATGAATCTTTGGGGAAAAAGACATGTAACCGATCTTGATGACTTCTAAGTGCGTGTATTCATATAGTATAGTTTGAAAACGAGATAGATTGATTAATTCTACTTGCCAATGATCCGCCTATATATCTTTATTTCTTTTTCTCATTGAATACAAAGTCTCTCAAATCAAAATAAAGTTATCAGTTATCAAAACATCTGGCCAACCCCAGCGGTCCTATCAATCATTACACACGAACAAAAATGATCAAAGAGGCTCAGGTGAAGAAAGTGGCGAGGAATAATTCCATAAAAGGGAAGCCATAATCGGTTCGAGTCATCAATTCAGGAGCTCATCTCACCCGCAACAAGCTGCCTTCAGAACCTTCTCACCAGATTGGTAAGCATCTATTTTCTACTTTGTAGACTATAATTACAGAACTTTTCTTCCAAACCGATTTTTCGATGATATGTATTTTGGCCCATTTCTAAATCTTGTTTCGTTCAAATGGCATATGACTTTTTTTTTTCTTCAATTGTTCACCAATACGATGCATAATATATTCTAAAATATGCCTTATAGGTTTATTTACTTTTAATTTATATCTTTGATGTCTAATGTTTACGCTTGATTCGTTATGTTTTCCATTGTATATTATAATGATGATATTATTAGTCTTCGGACTACAATCGTGTATCAGTGTATGAAGATATCAATTATGTAGAGGTGATGTGGTCCTGTGGAAGAGTCAATCAAGACCGAATTATTGTTACCTAATGCATCGTTGTTATATTCGCACATTTAAAAAAAGACAAGTCTATTGAAATAGCTTTTCAGTTGGATATTGCGAAGGTATTTGCAATCTTATATACTGTTAGCATCACCCATTCAATTTATCTCTAAAGTCAGCAGAGTATAGGATTTTTAATTTTTTTTAATGGCAACCTGGGCAAATGAAAAATTTGTGCCGCCCCTATCCAAAAGTTATGAGCTCAAAATACTCACAATTGCAAGTTCATTTCTCGTTCATATCGTATTATAGCAATGTATTGATTTTTTTAACGCATTTAATCCAGGAATCGGTATTAAACCCAAAGCGTGTAAAGTCTAGGAGTTATCTAAGCGAGGGAGGAAAAGCGACCATTGTGGTGAAATTGATTGATTGATTTTATTCATTAAATATTAGGCCTAACTAAATTTGCATTAGATGAAAAAGACCGTCAAAATAAAAAGGAAATACCTTCATGCGATAACGCGTGAAAGCGAATCTTCAGAAAATCGTGTTGGAATATGAATAGAATTACACTAATTTGTGGACAACTTTCTTAAGTTTGATACTCATGTCAGTCTGAAAAATCTATAAATTGGCACATTCTGTTGAAGTAGTTCCAATGGAAAAGAATCCTAACGGGATAGGCTTCTTTTATTATAAATTAAAGTCATGCAAAATTTGCATTTTCACCATTCGAAACGCGATTTCTTCAGCGTTAATACATGGGGAAAAATTTGAAAATAAAAAAATGCTATTCTATTCAATTCTTCATTTATATATTCTAGCAGTATAATAAGGACGAGCATTTTCGAGAAATACGGAACCAGGAAAAATTGGAATAATTCCCAATTCTCGTTTCCTTTATTCTTCCTTTTTTTAAACAAACAGAAGCTAAACTAGTCAAGATGATGATCAAAGTAGCTCTTGTGCTCTGTGCTATTGTGGCAACCAGTATGGTGTGCGCCAAGGATTTTGAAGAGCAAGATGCATTGGACACTTGTAAGTATATAAGTCAGCCAGGGACACCAATGCTTGAAAAGATTTGATCGCCCTTTCAGGAAAACTGTCATAAAATCCCTATAGCTATTGGCAGAAAAACTGTGAAACTAAGACATTTCGTTAACACATAATATTGTCGTACGATTCTCTTTTACTCGGGGGGGGGGGGGAGGCAGTAAGAATATAATTGGTACACATGACCACAGGTTTTCCATCCCCTCCCCGAAACAAGTTTTATCTACTCTTCAAAACTTACCCTTTCGAATTTTTTTCCCGAAAATTTCCCCACTATACGTACCTCTTAAAGGTATTATGTCCAATTTGCAGGCCAAAACATGAAAAGGTTAATGTTTCCAACGGCATTTGAAAGATAATATTAATTTAGAACTTCCCTCGAAACGAAAGGTGCTTGAAAATTTCTTTTAGTTGGAAAATAACGAGCATTAGTAGTCGAATCGACTTTAGTGATTGCAATCATTTTAGTTATAGTCTGATTTTCAGACCCTTGTACCGAATGGACGTACGTTTTGTGCTGTGCAAAGGTTCAATCAGTTTAATTGTGGCCATTACAAGAAGTGGGTTATTGATGTAGACAAATTCTCATGTACCTTTACAGCTCATTTTATGTATGTTATTACCAAAGAAAAAAAGAGAAGTCAATCAGTCACTCAATAGTGTCTGACAGTAAAATCTAGAAAATAAACGGGTTCCCTTGCATAATTTGAATAATATGACACTGCTAACGTTTACATCTCACAGATAAGACATACGTGACATATTCATAGTTTCTGCAAAGTTCTTCATAATTTGATGTTGATTGCAAATGGGACATAGGCCTAGTACCTTTAAGAAGATATTATTAACCCCTTAAAAATTGCTTTAAATAACTATTATTGATATTGACAGCACAATGTCTAGGCAAGGGTACTCTAAATGCGTTTCAACAAACACAACATACTTTCCTTCACCCCCCCTTCATTTTTGCCTATTTGACTCCTAATGCGTTACTCGCCTTAACCAGCAGAAACTGTTTTGGTCGCGAATGTGTCTACAGCAATATATATTTGCTTTATTTTCATTAAATCTCGTTTCTATGGCAACCATGCAGTGCTGAATATGATGCTCTCAGAGGAGGTTGCATCTCCTGATGACGCTGTAGCCTTGCAAGGCTGGAGACACTGGAAGAAGGCGTTTCATAAAGTCAGTCATGCAGTTAAGAGTGGCATCCACGCTGGACAGCGCGGGTGCTCGGCTCTCGGTTATCCTCCAGAAGAAGCTCGTAAGTAGCCACAGAAATATAATTATGAACAAAGAATAACAATAACAATAATGGCAATGATGATAATGGTAATTAATAATAATATTTCGTAAATAATCATCAATATTGGCATTATCATCATCATCATTGATCATCAATAATGATGATACTCAGGCGCGGATCCAGGATTTCTTAGGGGGGGGGGCCCAAATTTGAAATTATGCGAGCCAAATATTGGTACGTAATGCGGGGGGGGGGGGGGGGTCGGTGCAGGGAGGGGTGAGTTTCCCCCTCCCTCCTCCGCGAAACGCGGAAGCTTTGACGTTTCATTAAATTATTAGAGAAAGAAGACGATTCGTTGTACCGTTCTCGAAAATAATTTTCGTATGAATTTAGTTTTTCCCCTCCCGCGCGAAGCGCGGAAAATTTTACGATTTATTTAATTATTAGAGAAAGAAGACGATTCGTTGTACCGTTCTCGAAAATAATTCTCGGATGAATTTAGTTTTCCCCTCCCGCGCAAAGCGCGGAAAATTTTACGATTCATTAAATCATTAGAGAAAGAAGACATTTCGTTGTACCGTTCTCGACTATTAATTCTTGTCTAAATTCAGTCCCCCCCCCCTCCCCTCCCCCTCCTGGGCGAAGCGCGGAAGCTTTGACGTTTCGTTAAACTATTAAAGAAAGCAGACGATTCGTTGTCCCGTTCTCGAAAATAATTCTCGTATGAATTTAGTTTATCCCATCCCGCGCGAAGCGCGAAAAATTTTACGATTTATTAAATTATTAGAGAATTAAAGAAGACTGCCACAGAAATATAATTATGAACAAAGAATAACAATAACAATAATGGCAATGATGATAATGGTAATTAATAATAATATTTCGTAAATAATCATCAATATTGGCATTATCATCATCATCATTGATCATCAATAATGATGATACTCAGGCGCGGATCCAGGATTTCTTAGGGGGGGGGGCCCAAATTTGAAATTATGCGAGCCAAATATTGGTACGTAATGCGGGGGGGGGGGGGTCGGTGCAGGGAGGGGTGAGTTTCCCCCTCCCTCCTCCGCGAAACGCGGAAGCTTTGACGTTTCATTAAATTATTAGAGAAAGAAGACGATTCGTTGTACCGTTCTCGAAAATAATTTTCGTATGAATTTAGTTTTTCCCCTCCCGCGCGAAGCGCGGAAAATTTTACGATTTATTTAATTATTAGAGAAAGAAGACGATTCGTTGTACCGTTCTCGAAAATAATTCTCGGATGAATTTAGTTTTTCCCCTCCCGCGCAAAGCGCGGAAAATTTTACGATTCATTAAATCATTAGAGAAAGAAGACATTTCGTTGTACCGTTCTCGACTATTAATTCTTGTCTAAATTCAGTCCCCCCCCCCCTCCCCTCCCCCTCCTGGGCGAAGCGCGGAAGCTTTGACGTTTCGTTAAACTATTAAAGAAAGCAGACGATTCGTTGTCCCGTTCTCGAAAATAATTCTCGTATGAATTTAGTTTATCCCATCCCGCGCGAAGCGCGAAAAATTTTACGATTTATTAAATTATTAGAGAATTAAAGAAGACTGCCACAGAAATATAATTATGAACAAAGAATAACAATAACAATAATGGCAATGATGATAATGGTAATTAATAATAATATTTCGTAAATAATCATCAATATTGGCATTATCATCATCATCATTGATCATCAATAATGATGATACTCAGGCGCGGATCCAGGATTTCTTAGGGGGGGGGGCCCAAATTTGAAATTATGCGAGCCAAATATTGGTACGTAATGCGGGGGGGGGGGTCGGTGCAGGGAGGGGTGAGTTTCCCCCTCCCTCCTCCGCGAAACGCGGAAGCTTTGACGTTTCATTAAATTATTAGAGAAAGAAGACGATTCGTTGTACCGTTCTCGAAAATAATTTTCGTATGAATTTAGTTTTTCCCCTCCCGCGCGAAGCGCGGAAAATTTTACGATTTATTTAATTATTAGAGAAAGAAGACGATTCGTTGTACCGTTCTCGAAAATAATTCTCGGATGAATTTAGTTTTTCCCCTCCCGCGCAAAGCGCGGAAAATTTTACGATTCATTAAATCATTAGAGAAAGAAGACATTTCGTTGTACCGTTCTCGACTATTAATTCTTGTCTAAATTCAGTCCCCCCCCCCCCTCCCCTCCCCCTCCTGGGCGAAGCGCGGAAGCTTTGACGTTTCGTTAAACTATTAAAGAAAGCAGACGATTCGTTGTCCCGTTCTCGAAAATAATTCTCGTATGAATTTAGTTTATCCCATCCCGCGCGAAGCGCGAAAAATTTTACGATTTATTAAATTATTAGAGAATTAAAGAAGACGATTCGTTGTAGAGTTCTCGACTTTTAATCCTCGTCTGAATTCAATTTTCCCACTTCCGCGTGAAGCGTGGAAGCTTTTACGATTCATTAAATCATTAGAGAAAGAAGACATTTCGTTGTACCGTTCTCGACTATTAATTCTTGTCTGAATTCAGTCCCCCCCCCCCTCCCGCGCAAAGCGCGAAAGCTTTTACGTTTCATTAAAATCTTTAAAGAAAGAATATGATTCGTTGTACAGTTTTCGACTCTTCATCCTCGTCTGAATTCAGGTCCCCCCCCCCCCTCCCGCGCGAAGCGCGGAAGCTTTTAATTTTCATTAAATCATTAGAGAAAGAAAAAGATTCGTTGTACCGTTCTCGAAAATAATCCTCGTCGGAATTAAGTTCCCCCTCCATCCCGCGCGAAGCGCGGAAGCTTTTAAGTTTCATTAAATCATTACAGATTCGTATTACCGTTCTCGCCTCTGAATCCACGTCTGAATTCAGGTTCTCCCTCCCGCGCGAAGCGCGGAAGCTTTGACGTTTTATTAGATTATGAGAGAAAGAAGACGATGCGTTGTACCGTTCTCTATCATACTCTGAATCCTTGTCTGAACTTCAAAGATGTTCTTTGTCTGCTCCTTATTCTTCCTACGTCCTCTTCCGATTTGGGGAGGGGGGCCGCCAACCCCCCCCCCCCCCCTGGCTACGCGCCTGCGGTCAGATAAACACATTTTGATACCTTGTCCGATCCCGCAAGCTCAGGGGTTTAAGGCAATAAATTACGGTCAGATACGCATTCAGGGGCCCGCCTTAGGGCCTCTGGTGGGGTCGAATCGGCGGAGCCGGCCCCGGAAGCTCAGGGGATTTAGGCGTTTAATTAAGGTCAGATGAGCATATTTTTTGTTATATCTTATTATTTTGTGACACTGGTAGGTCACTATTTGGCGTGGGGTCCAGGGGCGGAGCCCCCAAAATCAGGGGTTTTAGGCATTAAATTACCGTCAGATGAGCATCTAAGGGCCCGCCGTAGGGTCCTAGGTGGAATCCAGGGGGCAGAGCCCCCGGAAGCTTAGGTGTTTTAGGCATGTAATCACGGTCAGATGAGCATATTTTGATGCCTCATTATTTTTTAACACTGCCAGTTAACTATTCTTTCTTTCTTGCTCTCATTCTATTTTATTTCTCTTTAATATACTTTTTCAAAAATGTGGGGGGGGGGGGGGGAGGGAGCTCGAGGCTCCCGATCCCCTCGATCCGTACCTCGGGCCCTGACATGTAGGGATCTCAAGAATCATATTTCTTGTCTGGCTGTAAGTTTAGGAATTCGTCATTTTTTTTGATTGGGGGGGGGGGGGGGGGGGGGTCAACAGCCTGGGAGGCAAGGCCCTTTCGGCCCCCCGATCTCCTTCTTCCCCCTTTTCTTTTCTTCTTCCTCTTCTTTCTTTCCCTTTCTCTCCTCTTCCCTTTCCCTTCTTTTCCTTTCTTCTCTCTTTTTTTTTTTTTTTTTTTTTTTGGGGGGGGGGGGGGGGGGCAAGGCCCGCTTGGCCCCCCCCCCCTGGATCCGCGCCTGATGATACTATCATTATTTCATCATTATTATTATTACTGGAAATAATTCAAACGTTTGGACAAAGTTTAATGTATATGTAATCCAACATATCCAATATTTTGAAGTACAGGGCCCTGTCTTACAAAGAGTTGATATTATCAATCGCAACTATGTACATAAGAGATAGGAGACTGCAAACTTGCGATTGATTGGAGGACTTGCGATTGATTTGGATCAATCGCAAGATCGCAACTCTTTGTAAGATGGGGCCCTTAACTCATTAGACGGAAACAAGGACATTTGTTGTTAAAGATAATTGTCACATTGTGATTACCACAGTATTATCTCGTTCGCTGGATTCCATTGCTACTCCGCACGTAATATTGTACATGTTCCACTCCCTGGGGAGTACACATATTCCTGACACTGACAGGCACAATTTTATAAGCGCTATGTGCTAATCCAGGGGTTCAGACTTAAATTGTGGACATCCATGTGTCCCGGAGTCTGTTAGTGTCGAGCCTTTCCTAATAGCCAGTCAAATTAACGCTCGCATTCTTAGAAGTAATTGATCTTTATTTCATTCATCATAAAAAAATCATAAAAAACATATCAAATACAACAGTGTAGGCCTACAAGTTAATACAACAATTAAATTAAATACAACAGCAAAAAAGTCATATGAATGTGGAGACAGCTGGGAACTAGCCCAAAGGGTTTATTGGTGCTGCCACCGAGACATCGATCGTACCACCGTACCCATTTCAATCCTTGGTGGGGAGAAACAATGAAAATAAAATGCCTTGCTTAGGGACATAATGTGCCTTGTCGTCTGTTGAACTCACAACCTTAGATTCTCCAGTGAGTGTTTTAAGGCCCCCCTAAAAAGAACAATAAGGCCCTTTTATTTATTTTCATAATAGCTGCCCGGCACATCTTCCAATTCATCCGGCCGGGCTTTTTTTCATGATTGCCGCTATAGCTTTTATGTTTATTTTTTCCACCGAAAAAACATCCTTTTAGCAGCATGTTTTTTCGTTGTTTTCATTAAAAAAACAAAAAAACAAGACAAAACAGGCGGCCTTAAAAAAAAAAGGGAGCGGGCGGCGCGGGGACGCTAAACATGATTTTTTTTTGGAATATTTTTTCTAACCAGTCCCCCCTCCCCTTTCATCATATTTTCAAATTTCATGTACATCTTAGGCGTTAAAATTCTGACTGCGTTCCCAGAGATGAAAGAGGAGGATCTCACCGAAGAGTATCTTAAATCGATCTGCGCTGGTGCACATGCCCTTGGCAGTTCACATGCCCGTGGCCGTGCACATGCCCGTGGCCGTTCACATGCCCGTGGCCGTTCACATGCCCGTGGCCGTGGCCGTGGCCGTGGCCGTGGCCGTGGCCGTGGCCGTGGCCGTGGCCGTGGCCGTTAGACTCGGTACGTATTTTTGAACAATATTAACATGAAACAATATTATTGTAGTGCAGATGTTCAACCACTGATTGTCCACTCACAGTATGGAGCTGCTTGATAATCATCAAATTTTCAAATTAGACTCAATCAATTTTTTTTTAATGTGGGGGGGGGGGGGGTGGTGGCAAGCAGGCAAATAAAAACTGTAAAATGAGTATTAAAACAATCAACCACTTATAAACCTTTTACATGTATTTTGCTTTAACAATTTAAATTCCTGTCAAGTCTCAAGTAAGCAATGTTTAAGACTATAACATTGAAGGCCTATATAGGAGACTGTGACATGTTCATACATATGTACTTCCGTTCTTACCCCGACATTGAAAAAGATACTTCTCTCAATTTAGATGTTCCAGCAGTATCAGTTTCGGAATTGTTGCCGATTACAATCTTTAATTCGGTAACGCTGTGTATCAATATTGATAAACATGGAGTCATTTATGAAATTATATTCTAATAAGAAATACAATATACATGTACAGGTCTATATGTTTCCTTCTTCTCACCGTGCCCCCTCTCCCTTTCTCTCCTTCCCTATACCTTTTCCATTCTTTCTCCCCCTCTCTCCCCCTCCCTCTCTGTCTCCACTCACTCTCTCTCTCTCTCTCTCTCTCTCTCTCTCTCTCTCTCTCTCTCTCTCTCCCCTCCCGTCTTTCTCTGACTCCCTTTTCTCCACAATTTCCTCATTATATTTTTAACCAAAATAGATCGTCTTCCTTTATTTCTCACATAGGAAGGGATCGTGACACAACATCCGGGACGCTTGATGTCGATCCTTCCTCAAGAAACAATGAAATAAAAGCAAGAAATTGTTATCTTCCATCGTGTATTTGCAACTTTTCTATAATTAGAATCTTCTTTACCACTTCTGTATTTGTTAAGTCTTTAAACCTTGTTAATCTTCTAAAATGAAATAATGGCGAGTGGTTTTCATTAATAACACATATTTCTGTTTCTTCCATGTTTTTATTCATTATACATCTTTCAAATATATTGAGGGCTAACTGTACACCAACCTTAAAATCTAGCACAATAATACATCTTTTCATCATAAGCTTCAAATTAAAAATGTTCTCTCTGTTTTGCTTTTTTTTCCTAAAGAAAAGTACCACCAACAAGACAATGTAAGCATGGTATAAGGGGAATAACTAATAGTCTTGGTAATAATGCTGATAATAAAATCACATGAACTTGCAAACCATAGCTTGTTTGGGATATTTTGTTATATGCTATACATTGGGTAGTGTATGATTGATAGAATACTGTTGGCATACAGGGAAAATACGAAAAACAACAACACTTTTGATGAGAAAAAGTGTGAGAGGCAAAAATTAAACAAAGTGAAAAGGGAATGAAGAGAGAGAAAAGATGGAGGGGGAGCACATACGGGAGAGCAGGGAGAGGAGAGTGAAAGAATGCGAAAGTGAGCGTGAGAGAGAGAGAGAGAGAGAGAGAGAGAGAGGGGGGGGGGGGGGGGTGACAAAGGAGACGCAAGCAATATGCACTTGAAGAGCATTTGAGATGGAGAGAGGGCAGCAGAGAGGAAAAGGATGATACAAAGGGGAATAATTGATTGTGTGTGTGCGTGCGTGTGTGTGTGTGTGTGTTGTGCGTGAAGCATAAACATTTGTCAGTTGAGTGTAAAAGTATCTGCAAAATGAGACTACAATTCGCTCTGTACTTAAGCTTGACACAGCAAGAAACTGACAGGATTAGGCTCTGCTCAAGGCTTTAGGAGTGTGGATTTGAGGTGAAGTGTCTTATATTGGAGTCTGTGCTTGTAGACTATGAAGGCTTTAGGAATGTGGATTTGAGGTGAAGTGTCTTATATTGGAGTCTGTGCTTGTAGACTATGAAGGCTTTAGGAGTGTGGATTTGAGTTGAAGTGTCTTGTATTGGAGTCTGTGCTTGTAGACTATGAAGGCTTTAGGAATGTGGATTTGAGGTGAAGTGTCTTATATTGGAGTCTGTGCTTGTAGACTATGAAGGCTTTAGGAATGTGGATTTGAGGTGAAGTGTCTTATATTGGAGTCTGTGCTTGTAGACTATGAATGGGTAGAGGAGCACCTAGGCGAGGTGAAGTGTCTTATATTGGAGTCTGTGCTTGTAGACTATGAATGGGTAGAGGAGCACCTAGGCTTCTAGAGTTTTTGGGGTCTGCTTCCAAAATATTAGAAAAACTGAAGCCATTTTCTTGTTATGGCATACTCAAATCCACAGCTATAATAGACAAAATACACATATCTGTACATTTTGTGCTGCACAAAGATTTACAATCAGTTTAATTTTGGCCATTACAAGTAGTAGGTTATCGATGTGGACAAATGCTCATGTACCTGTTACAGCTCATTTCATAAGAAAGAAAGATGTCATTCAGTCATTCAATAATGTCTGACAGTGAGGTAAACAGTTGCCTTGCATAATTTGAATACTAGGACACTGCTAATGTTTAAATTGCACATATAGGACATACATGACATATCCATAATTCCCGCAGTTCTATTCATAAGTTCTACAGAATTTGAGGTTGGCTGCAAAAGTGACATAGTATCTTTAAAGTAAGCATATGGTTGAAAATTAGGTGTAGCAATTAAGCCAAATCTAACTACATAAAAGAAGCTCGATGAAGTTTATTCAAATAATACTTTGTTAAAACTTGTATAACATTGAGTCATCGGAAAGATATAAGCCCCTCATAAAAGTTTGGAAACTCAATGAGCATCGCTTTGTTTAGTATCAATAGAAAGTGTGTTTATTCATTTTTTAAATGATACCATATTTGTTATGATTTTGCAGCCATGGGATGAGCAGTACATCAGGGGCCGAATCAAAAGTGAAAGTTGCAAAATGCACTGGTAAGCAGTGGTATTGTATGCAAAGATATCAAACTCTTCTTTCTTTAAAATAAGATAGTGTCATTCTTTTAAATTACTGTTGGCTATTGTTCCCAGATAAAGTTACCCAAAAGGGTAATAAATCTTTCAATGCATACTTTCCATATATGCAAAGTTGCTTTGGTCCTCAACTCCTCATTCACCAACCCTCTTGGAAGCTGTAAAGCTGTTGTAAATGGGGATCAAAGGTAAACAGATCCTTCCCAATAACCCTGGACAATATTGGCTGAACCCAGCAGGAAGCATCTTATGTACTGTTGTTATTGTTGTTGGTTTGTATGGCGTTTTCCATCGTAGTTGGATGACTGTTGCCACTATTGTTCATTCACTTGTTTTTACCTCTTTTACCTTTGTAAATGGGGATCAAAGGTAAACAGATCCTTTTCAATAACCCTGGACAATTTCTTCACAGTGAACGTTTGGCTGAATCCAGCAGAAAGCATCTTTTATGGTTTTTATTGCGTTTTCCATCGTAGTTGGATGACTGTTGCCATTATTGTTCATTCACTTCTTTTTACCTCTTTTACCCTTGCCCTTCTTTCCTTTCAAGTCTTTACTGATAATCTTGACATGCATAACACTGGTAGACTGGAAAGGCATCTTTGCAGTCTTGTTCCTCTTGCTCTTGGTATCATCTTTGCCAGGAGAGGTGGATATTTTGGATAGCTTTCTCTTCTTTGTCGCTTGTGGCTGTCTATCGGTACCCTTGAGCTCATCATCAGAGTCCTCATTTTGGCACAGTTTATCCTCAGTCCCCCCAACTCTCTCCTTGGTCGTTCCTGCATTTTCATCCATCATGCTTCCGCCATCTCTGCAGAGGCCATTACCATCCGTCCTTTCAGTCGTTCCCTGCTGAGGTTCTTCTTCTTCCCTTTGTGAGTCTTTGAGAACTGTTTCCTCAGAAGCACCTGCATCGGTCTCACTGGTCTCTGTAGCTGCACTTGTAGTATCTGACTCATTTTTCTTGCCCTGCTGTGTTTCCTTGACAGCTGCATCAATCACAGAGTTCCTCTGATAGCTGAAGACTCCCTTGGACAATTCTGCAGCCAGTTCCTCAAGGGGTAGGTGCTTGAGGTCCATCCAAGGAACCTTGATTGCAGGACACTTCCCACTGACATATGACACAATGCCTGCAAAGTCTTGGTTGGCTCCATTAGAAGGTTTCTGCGTGAGACATGAAACACAATGTGCATTTAGAAGACATTTTTGAGCGAGAAAATGTGCCATAATTTTTTTATATGAAGTGGTGATGTCAGAAATGGTATTCCTATAAATATACCAGTTTATGAACCTATTATTATTTATGGATGTTACTTTCCTCAGGACCTAGTGACGAGTTATTCCATTAACCTATTATAAATGAATGAGCTACAATACTTGGAATCCAGAATCCACATTACTTGTTGCTATGTCAGGCAAGCCTCAGGCAAGCCATCAGGGTTTTGTAAAAGTATGTGTATGAGAAAGGAGCAAGGGATCATTACCATGGTAGGACTACCCTTAAATGTGGGTCAGGAGGTGAGAGGTCATGAGGTCAAGCTCGTAGATCTGTTTATTTTACCTTGAAACCTATGGCTAGGACGGTCTTCATGTTCAAGAGAGGAGATAAGGTATTACTGAGATGGAAGACTGCCATGGCAGGGCAACCTCGAGTTGCACTGAGGGTCGGGAGATGACAGGTCATAAGGTCAGGCTTAGCTGAGCGACAAACCAAGACTAGCTGGAGCTGATCTTTCTCTAACGATCTGGTGACCTCATTGACCCCAAAAGCAAGTTGTGACCTTTAAGAAAAAGACGGAATTCAACAAATTGAAAGGTATTATTGGTATCAAATGGACCTTCTTTACCATATTTTTCACTTGATTAAAAAATAAATGAAGAACATAAGGTTGAAATTGTCAATTGAAGTGCATCAAGGGAAGACAAGGTTTTATAGGCTGTATTAGTTTCATTGAATAAGAACTTATACTTTCAAAATTATATTATTGGTTAAATATTTGATGTTGACGCTGCTGCCGTCGCCGGAAAAGCAATGCCTATCTCTCGCTTTTGCTATGCAGGCAGGACAAAAATTGATGTCAAACCAAAAGTTTTTGAAATTTAAAGGTGTTATTGGTATCAAATGAAACTTCTTTACCATATTTTTAACTTGATTAAAAAAAGAGAAGTTTTATAGGTAGTAAGTAAGTATTAGACGATGAAATCTTCCTTGTTGGGATGGGAATTTACCTCAAGGCCGATCTCCTCTGTTCTTCTTCCTTCCTCTCTGGGTTGCTCTCCATCTCTGCCTTTCGTTTCTTGGTCTGTTTCCGATTCTTGCATCTTCGTTTTCCAAGCAGGCATTGCAAAGGCTGAAATGTTCTGAAATAACAATCAAATTTCACTTTTTTCTTTTGCTGGAATAAATTTACATTGTAAAGAATTTTCATCATATTTGGTCTAAATGATATATATTTTTTTTACAAAGCCAATCTACAATTGAATTGCAATATTGAGTTTTGATGGCAAAAAGAAAAGAAAATTTGAATGAAACTCTTTGGATACTTATTGTATATGTTCACACATGTTCCATCTGTTTTATTAAATGCATTCAATATTAATTATCTACATTATGTCCATGAATAAAATAGTACTTTAGTGATGAAGAAAATCCTAATTATGGCCAACTCTGTCTACACCTAAGCTCACTACACAACCACACCCCAGAGTTTTTTGAAAGCCCACTAAAAAAATGAAAAAAATTATCATCACATATTCAATATATAATCAACATAATCATTATACTTGAGTTGTGATCTGGTAGAGAATTTGCCAGACTGTGAACCAAAGGTTACGTTTGTACAGTTGTCACACTTGACCCAGATGAGGTGAATGGCAGGAATTAATAACTTGAAATTTGTTGAAAAGCTAGAGCGCCATAATGGCAGCCATGCTTAAGCTGGTGTAATATTTGTGGAGTGCCAGGAGTGTAGTTTGACAGACATGAGCACTATACAAGAAATTGTCAAGAACCCGTTATCATTATTATTAATGATGTTGTAAGTTTTCCTGCATATAAGTGTATTAAGGACTTGCATACAGAGACCAAGACTGAGCAAGGGACTGTGCCTCTGAGCAAAGAAAGAGAGACGTCAAGAGTTAGCAGATCAAAAGAAAATATGTAAATTTGCTCTCTTACCTCTGGATTTCAGATAAAATATCTGGAGTGACGCCACTTGGGAGCGGCGGCCTGCAGCAAATAAAATCAAGAAAGGATTAGTATGACAGTCAATAACACAACACAGTAAATATTAGAACCAAGCTTTGCCATTCGAGACTGAGATGTCTGGCTCCACAGACTGCCTCACATTAAAGAATTCCCCGTACCAGCTGATTATTTTTATCCAAGTAAATATTATCAAACAACAACATCTATAAAAAAAAAAAAATCTTTTGCATTTATTTTGAAGATTCAAGATAAGGACATTGGTATTAAATTTATTCAGGGTCCATCCCAGGAAAGGAAAAAACATGGATTACACACTAAGAAAAGGTCATAGAGAACATGAAAGATAATAAAGGAGAAAAACTAAAGTAGGAAGGGAAGTAAACAAAATACGGCTGCAAGAATTTCAACACGGAGCTCAATTTTGGCAAAGAAATTCTGGAAAAAAGACCCTTAAACAAATCATACAAGATACAGTTGATCTGGTAAGTAGAACCGATGTATATTAGCCTAGGCCTAATTAAAAAAAATAAATGCATCGCCATCGGATTCGGATATGAATTAATCCGCTAAAATTGAGTATTCTGTCTCTAAACTAAAGAGAGGAGCCGACCCTACCCAAATAAGAGGCTAACGAACGAAAGAGACAGAAATTTTTGGTCTACTGGTAACTCAAAACCACTCCAGCAAAGCATAGAGAGTCAACGCTAATGCGTATTGACCTCTAGCAATGCACTACATAGGCAGCATTTAAATACATGAATAGATCTAGGTCTAGTCAATACACTCATAACACACAGATGCACACTATCATGCCGATGCGGTTGATCGGCAAGTTTGACAGTGGACTCACAATTTGAATTTTTAAATTATTCTTTTTAACATCGGTAAAGTTGAAAAAATTGTATTTTACTGCTATTTAGATCTATAGGTGTCATCAATCGTCACTAAAGTAGACGATTTTGAGTGAAATCAGTTGAGTTTAGTACAGTGGTGTTTGAAATATTGGAAATCAATAGCACAGCTTTTAATACACAGCCAGGATAGTAATGCACCTATGTGTGCTCAAAACGTGACGACACTGCACTGCACTTGGAAAATGATACATGATGGTACATGATGTAATACTAATACTACAACGTAAATCACAGCGTATCGGACTACGTACTGAATTTAAACTTACCATTCAATGGCATACGGAGACGTTAGGGCACTTCTAGTGATAGTCTTCGCAGTTTTTCCCTTTCCTTTAGATTTTCTTACTGTTTTAGCGCCTTTTTCAATAGTTGGAGCAATATTAGTTGACATATTTGGTATTATTTTTACAGTGAAAGACACAGAAAAATGTTGTACCGACAAATGTGTGGCACAGTTCGCGTTCCGTAACATCCCGACGCATATGACAAGCCAAAGAAACTAAACAAAATATAATAAAATAAAAGAAGAATTTAAAGGAGCAGAGAAGAGTTAGAAAAGAGAAAATTGCTTAAACGTTGGAAGAAGAAGTACAAGAAAAAGAAAAAGAAGAAGAAGAAGAGGAAGAAAGGAAAAGAGAAAATAAAGAATTAAAAAAAGAGAGAAAGTAATTAAATGTCCATGCAAGCAGAGCTAGCATCTATCAGTCATTGGGGCAATAAAAGAAATGAGAACAGAGATTGATTTAAAAAAATAAAAAAAATATTCGGCCCAATTTTTTAATTTTAATGAAAATGTGGTGCTTAGATTGCACTGACAAAAAGGAGACCTACCATGCATGGCCTATGCTCATCAACTCAACTGTAGTTTGCAATGAGTAAATAATTTCCCTTGCCTCTCACCCAAACATGGCTCTTAAACTCAAATTCGGTTTCTCTCTTTCTTCTCTCTTTTACTCTCAATTCCAAACAAATGCATGTACATACATGTACATGGACTTCTCTCATTTACATTTTATCAATGCTTCACAAAATTTAGATTTCATTCATGAATTTTATCACATACGTCAATAGATTTGATTTATTTAATCCAGTATTTTCATGCATTACAAATACATTTTATAGACGATATATTGCCACCATATCAAATTTTATCAAACAAATAATATCTCATGCAAGATGATTACATAACAATACAGATAGTTACAACTAACATCACCCAAATGAACAGATGACTAAATCAATTTAAAAAAAAAATTCAACTACAATCCCTGCATTATTATAGCTGCTAGAAACAGAATGATTTCATGATTTTCAAAAATGAAATCAAGAGAGCATACAAGTCAAAGGTGAATTCCGCCCTAACTTAAGTTGGTTTTATTACAAAGCAGAAAAAGGAAAGAAACAGATCAGTGAAAATTTGAGCAAAATCATATAAATATAAAAAAGTTGTGACTCATCTTACGAGGTCCTCTACTATATGCTCTGTAATTTATTTATTTCTTAAATAAAAAAAAATTGTCAAATATATTATTTTAGTCAAACCAACCAAACATAAGGGTGGACTTTGCCATATTACACAGTACTGAGATAATTACATATCAAAATTACAACCTAGCTAAAAAACATAAACTTCCTCCAACTTCCCTGTTTGTTGAAAGTGATTCTTAAACAATTTTGAAAATTAATAACTTATGTTGGCAAATACATAATTGGATCCAATGATAACTCGCTATCTAAGGTTAGAAAAAAGAATGTGTTTGTCAATAAAATATTACTGACACATTTTCTGATAACCATTCTGCATTACTGCAATACATGTATCCTGCTGATTTACTTCCTTGAATATAATTATACGTAAAAAAAGAATCACTAGAGGGTGAGAAGCATGATGGAAGACAACTATATCATATATATCTTTTCGTAACTTGTTAATTTTGTTCCAGCTTTTTAGTGACTTATTTGGTTATAGTATCATGTACATATTTAATATTTAATTCAATTTTCAATTAATTTTCGTGTTTAAATTTGTATTACCTGAATTACCCTATAACATGTAAGCTATATAGGAATTGTGTATCATTATTGTTGTTTGTAATTAATTATTTTCATGTATCAGGCATAAATGTTCATTTCTATTCCACCCTTTTCCTTCTTTTCTAAGCGCATAGGGACTTTCTTTGTGTTAGTGATATGCGCTATACAAATAACGTTCATTATTATTATTATTAAATATACACATGATAGACTATCAGGGAGGGGGGGGGGGGGGGTTAGGAGAGAGTAAAACACTAACATAACATAACGTGCAAATAATCATATTGCATGCATTTTTGTCAAAAAATCAAATCATCATTGCACAATCACATTATAAACTTAAAAGCTAGCTGTTTCATATAGTGGAGAAACTTACTTATTTCAAACAATACATACATCATCCATAACTGTATTTACAACATACTGGTAGGTACTTGTTAATTGATTTCAGTACTGCATAGCAGATTCCAATTTGCATTTCATCATCGATCATCATGTCTACACATTGATTAGGTCTCATGTTCTTTTTCATCCTTTGGCAAGACATTAATCTACATATGTCCCACTCGATCCAGGTGAGGTAAATGGGAGCCTGGCAGGTATTTGTCCCTTTTTAAATTTTAGGTCGCCATAACAGCTGTCATATTGAAGCTGAGTTAACAATACTAGAACACAAGTAGTGTCAAGTGTGACAGACATGAGCACTATACAAGAACCCATTACTGTTATTATTGTAATTATGATTATGATCGTAATTATCATTGTTGTCATTATTAATCAAATACACAAGTTGATCAAGCAGCTTGAATTTGTTGTCTACAAAACACGGCAATAAGCCTAAGAAGGAAAAAGAAAAGAATGATAAATTTTCTTAGAAGCTTTCGCATACTTTCTTCCTCCATTATTACACAGATATTAAGCAACATAAGTTTTTTGTCTACAAATATAGCAATATCCTTTTCTGTAACGAAGATGCATGTGGTTAAAGTAAGAAAATCATACAAGATACCCATAATCCCATATTGGTATACCACAGATAACGCAACACAATTATGTTGATACTCCAACAACATGCGACTATGAACAAGTACAAATAGGTTTCAGAAATATATCACACACAATTTACAGTACAATTCGGTGGCCGGTTGTCCTATCACACATATGCAAGAATAACTACAACTTGTAGTTGATCCCTAAATTGGTTTCGGTTCTAAATGAGAAGATCAGATATCTAAGTCCTAGTGACACGGAACAGACAACACCTTCTCCAGGCAAATAATTACAAATCATTGACTTAAAAATAAAATAAAACAAAAAGGAAAGGACTCTCAACTAAATTCACTGATGTATTGATTCAGTTGACAGAAAAACATTCAAAAAACAAAACTGCAAAGTCTCACAGTCAAACCACAAGTTGCTTCCCAATACTGGTAAATTATATGATCAGAGGAAAAGGTACAAGTTCGAGTTGGAAGGCAGAAAAACAAACACTCTGCTTTAAAGTAGCAGCCCAAAGCAATGGGGATTTGCACTGATTGCAGTTTCAGATTGACGGAAATGAGTTGGTTTGGGCTACTACGGACTTTATTTTCCTCTGCTGATCAATAATTAATTTCAAACTACACGACCCATAGGCAACAAAACCAGTTAGTAGTGATAACCTAAGATTCCATGATGTGAGTATCGATAACCAACTTACAATACGACTATTCAAAGAATTACAAATATCCTCACAGTACCAGTCCGGGAGCTGTTCAAAAGGCATATACATCCTCCCCTGACCAAGGCAAGTTCATGCTGGGTCGAATCCTGAAAACTGTGTTATCTTTTATGCTAAGGAAAATGATTTACATTGTTATAACAACCTGGTATTTGGCAAATTTACAATTCCTAGTTGGTGCTTGTGCTCTTATGAATTAAACCCAAATGTGGCTAGCTTTGTGCAGACATTAACTAATCACTAATGAATTTTCATTTATAATATACAAACGATGCACGCGAATGAGTTCATTCTACGATCTTATAGGCTGTATGCATTTATCGTACGAAACTGTCAGACCAATGACAATAGGTGCACAGATAGCCTCAACAAGAGCGGAAAGGTCCTGCAATCAATGAAGGAAAACATGCATCATTTGTTTTAGTAAACAAAATGCCTAGATCCTTGTTATTTGAGGTAAAAAGAATTCCTTTCAAGATTGTTAAATGTCATTATCGCTGACAAATAATGAACCTCACGTTTAATAGGCTTACCATAGCACGCACACAAAGATAACTGCACTTATCTCTACACGCCTCAATGCTACGCACACACAGTAAAAGTTCATTGACCTCAACACGCACTGATGCCCATCAAGTACATGTACTTGAAATTTATTAGATAGTACTGGAAACTATTGCACGCTTTTTCGTGAAAAAAGTGTGATCAGGAGTGTGTTCGACTAATCATTAGATTAGAATCTAGAAGTGACTTGCACAACAATAATTAACATTATTCTAGTAGTTATTAAACAAAAAAGATAACAATTCATAAATTCCACCCAATGTTACAGCCAGGTGGGATTCATCTTTGATTTTGGCAAGTCCAAAGCAGGATTCCTCAGGCAAGGGTAACTTTCTGGGTAGCTTCTGCAGACTGGCCTTGGGGGAACTCGCCTCCTCTTGATTTCACAAAAGACTTGTAACTGTTGTGAGAGAAGAAAAAATATGAGCAATTTGATTATATTAGGCTCCGTAATCAAGGACAAATTTAGCCTGTTCCCTGTTGAAGTTTATTCCAAAGGATGGTGTGTTGCGCCCATTTCAAACTGAAGTAAGCATTGTAAGGCAAAATTGATTCTTGAAAGTTCATTTTTAACAATGTTAACAAGTTCGGTAGCAGAGAAGGAGTTAAAGATTGAAACTCTGAGAAAACAAATAGGCCCGAATTCAGAAAGGAGGTTTGTCGACAAACCTTGGTTTTTGTATGTCATATGACGCGTCTTACGCGTTTTTTACAAACCTGGTTTGTAAAGAACAAAAGGAGGTTTGAGCTCAAACCTTGCTTTGTGAATTCGGGCCATAGGGTTGGAGAAGGACGAGGGGCGAAAGAACAGGAGAAACATGTTGATATAACCCAGAATAAGAAACTTGTCTACGAACCAGTTTGAGAATTCATTCATATTTTGAAGATACATACATGCACATTACAGCCAGAGATAATGTAACATATAAATATACATGACATATCAAGATTTTAAGAATTTCAATAAAAGGTGAAACAAAATATGGACAAGAAATTGCACTGCAACAAATTTTATGAATGGAATAGGAGGGCTTGGGATCTTACATCTGCCGATACTTTTGTCTCTCCGACGCCGACACGGATGGCTTCATTCCCTGTGCTGCCCTCAAGAGATGGTTTTGACTCACTCTGATCACAGACACATCTTCTGTGACTGTGTCATCCGTTGGCCCACCCTGGTATTAACATATGATAGAATCGATGATATTCATTATTACAATCAGAACAGTTGAAGTCATACAAAATATTGATACAAGTCTTACACTAAAGTATATTTCTGGTTCAACATAATAGATGTAGATGTAAAATATGCTGGATTGTTTTGATCCTCAAACTAATATGGTTGTATGACAAAATGATACACATGGCACACATCTCAAGTTTCTGTATATACACTCGAAAAATATCAGACTTACATGACAAGTCAGAACTACAATTGAAAAGATTTGGGATTCTCAATTAATAAAACACCAATTATCATTAACTCACAAACTTACAAAAATCAGTCATGGGGATATTTCATATTGAGAGCATACAGGATGTTTCGTGCTTGTAAAGAACTATGAAAATCAAATTAGAAGAATACTGTCAACAAGTATCCATGAAAACTTACCACACTTTCACCAGCCATCTTTCTTGTGTAATTCTCAACAATGACATCCACCTGAAGTTGGAAAAATATGATGTTAACAACTCATTATTAAATAGATTTAGGGCAATAACATCATCTTACTTGAAAGTGTTCTGGACTTTCAGAGGGTGATGAAAGAGGAAGGAGAGATATAGATAGAGAGAGAAAGAGAGAGAGACAGAGAGCGAGAGGAGGAAAAAAAAGGGGGGAGGGGGGGTTGAGAGATAGAAAAACAAAAAAGAGTGAGGGAGAGAGAGAGAGAGAGGGTCAAATGCAGAGACGTAAAGAGAGTGCGGGGGGGGGGGGGGCATAGAAAAAGGGGAGAGGAGAAAGAAGGACCAATGTAAGAGCGAGAGAATTTGAGCTAACAAGGGGGAGGGAAGAGGGATAGAGACCTTCACATAATTAACTCATTTGCATGCCATCCTTTGTACAAACCGTTTCTGAGCATGCTGTTTGGGAAAAACCTGTCAAAGCATGGTCAATTATTTGATTACCGGTAAGTGGTATTCTAACTTTAACAACTTTTCTTCAATTGATAAGAGTGATTGATTTCAAATTAAATTATCATCATGATAACTACATTTCCTAGAATATTTTGAAATTCTTGATTAAATAGTATTGGAGCTTTTAAAAATTCTTCCAACAATAAAACTTGGCTTACCTCATTTCCAATGATCTCCCTTGTCTCAGGGGTGGGGTCGACCACGCCATCCCTCAAGGTGGGCATGTATACCACCCTCTGCTGCGGGGGAGGAGGAGCCAAGGGCGTGTCAGGGGGCAGAGATGGGGTCGCTGGGGTCATGGTGGTATCAAAGACGCTCCCCTCTGGTGGGGACGGGGTCTCGTCTTGCCCCATCGATTCAGAGTCTGGGAGAAAGGAACAAATTAAAAATTGAATGAATTTGAATCATTTAATTACAAAGTTCTTTTAAGAACAAGCACATACTTACCCAACTCCTATTAAAAACTAAACCAACAACAATAACAAAATTCTAGCGGGATGCGTCTCATGATGCTTTGTCAATTTTGATTCTGGGAGAAGAGAACAAATTTGAATTACTAATTCCATGATTCAATACAAATTTCCTTTGTATTGCATACCCCATACCTCAATGGTGAGGTACATACATGTAAATTTTCATTAACATTGGCTCACTATAATGATATGGATATTTATATAGCGCAGGTATCAGCCAGGCTCTGATGCTCATGGCACTTTACACATATTACCCTGCTAAATAGCCAAGCTGCCAAAGTAACTAGCGCTCAAGCATATCAGGTACCCATTACCACATGGGTGGAGAGTGGCAAATGTAGATTAACTTCTTGCCAAAGGACATCAGTGCTGCGGCGGGACTTGAACCCCGTACCTTGCGATCTGCAGTCGGGTGACTCATCCACTAGACCACAACACCTCTTAATATATATAATTATATATTCATATCATTTCATTTACGTAAGAGTAACAGATAATAAAATAGGAGCCGATTTGAAAAGGCTCAGATGATTAATTTAGACCTTTATACGATTTTATAAGATGATGACTTGGATCCTAATCAAATGATTGGTTGAAAGCGTACACGTGACCAGGCATTTATTTTGCCTAACGCGTAATTTGGATAATGACCGGTCATTATCCAATCGTAATGGCCGGTCATTATCAAAATCATGTTACAAAACATAATTATATAAAACAAATGAAACATAATCTTCTTATAAAACAAATAATACACATAATTTTGTTCGGGCATTAGTAAAATTACCCACACTCGGTACCTTAAAAAAAGTCCCAACACCCTCGGCTATCGCCTCGGGCGTGTTAGACTGTTCAAAGGTACCTCGTTTGGGTAATTCTTACTAATGCCCTCACTGCTGTGTTTTATTCGTGTACTGATGAACAACATTTGGATGACCTCTTACCTTCTCTCATGAGTTCTGTCAGCAGCATTTTTGACATGGCTCCAGCTCCATCCATGTTACCATTCAGATCAGACCTAGTCAGTCCACCTGCCAAGTCCAGCCTCAGCTCCCTTCTCCTTCTCCTCAACCCTTCCTCATCGATGTCCTCCTCCTCGCCACCGTCCATCTCGTCGTCGATGTCCCCCGTCAGCTTCATGGTCGTTGCTAGCGCCCTCTCTGCCTCTGAGAGGCTAGCCAGACGTTGGTTCATGGTGGAGGCTTCATCCAAGTACGGCCCGTGATCGCTCTCTGAGAACGTCTCCAAGAAAGTCAGCTTCCACTCGTCGGCCTCCATGCTGCAGTTGTGTAGTGAGCTCGTGAGAGGGAGCCCTAGGTTTGAATCGCGTCGGTCAGACTGCATGAGGGTGCTATGAATGGCCTCCAGCTGGGCGTTGTAGAGCAGGGCTTTGAGATCCGCTCCGGTGAAGTGGTCAAGCTTTTTGGCGATGGCAGCGAGGTCAACGTTAGAACGTAATGTCATTTTCCTGGCTAGGGCCTGCAAGATCTCTACTCTTTCCTCCTAAAATATAAACCAGAATTATGACTTCAGGTTACACGATCAGGATAGAAATACAAAAACAAGATTGTCACAAATATGCAATAGATATTGCACTGCTGCTGATGTTCTTTAGTTTGGGTTTAGTAAAGTAAAAAATGTGAGGCGCGATAGCTCAGTCGATAGAGCAGTGGTCTCATAATCCAGTGACCCGGGTTCGAAACCGAGGTGATGCACTAGTGCCCTTTGGTAAGGCATTAATCCTTATTACCAGGTCCCTCGGAAAGGACCTAAAGCCGTCGGCCATCTGGTTGCTTACTTACAAGCATTTATGCTTTCTTAGCAGTCAGGTAAAACAAACAAATCCACCAAGCAATATATCGAGGGGTCAGTGACACAAAGACTAACTCCATTTTGGCCATTTTGAAGAAAAAATGGTTTATGTGTCACTGAGAACTTGGGCCTTAAGGAGTTAAGTCTATGTTTCACTAGCCATTGACTTCAATGGGGTGTTGGGTGGAGTTAAGTCTTTGTTTCCTGGAAAGCCCACATTTTTCTGAACATTTTGATATCAAATACTCATTTTGGCAAAATATGTACGTCTGTGTGTCACTGAACCCTCAATATATGTAAAAATAACTTACAGCTGTGGGGATTGGGCAGAAGAGGCACTTGTCCAACCGACCCGGTCTCAAGAGGGCTGGATCTATCAGATCAGGGCGACTTGTAGCACCTATCACATACACACCTATCATACAACAAACAGATTTAATACAAGTGTCAATGTAAATCTCTATTCAAGGGAGACAAACAAGTGGTCTTTCTATAAAAGTGGTCTCTGAAGCAGGTTTGACTGTATTTCATCTCTTTATTCAGTTTTATTGAGGTAGTTTACAGAATGTACTGGCAAATAAAGACAATCCAAAACATTAACTACATGATCAGATATAGAAAGACCAAACGTGGCCTTTCTAAGCAGGTGGTCTCTAAGTGCAGGTTCCTCTATTCAAGGAAGACAAAAAACTGTGGTCTTATAGACGGGTGGTATTTCTATACAGGTGGTTGCTAAAGCAGGTTTGACTGTATTTCATCTCTTTACACACAGGTAAGTTAGTGAATGTATTGGCATATGCAGCATCAGAGAAATTTAACATCGCTCGGGGAAATTATCAATTTGTCAGTTCTTTTATTTTGTAATATTGAACTCTAGAGCATTCAATATTTGTATAATATGAAATTAAACATGTGACTTAGTGAAACAGGAGGACTGTTTTGATATCATTTAGCCTAAGGAAGATGGTAGACTTATTTACAAATATGAAAAGCCAAATGGGATGCTCAATCATTATTAAATACAGCAACTAAAGTTGAACTGTGCAGATGTAGATTAACATTCTTAGGATAATAAACATTTTTAATGCAAAGTATATTTTTTGCCATAATTTAATTGAGGTTATTGAAAATATCAGAAAAAACTTTGGGCATCCTATCTGGCACTTCATATACAAGTCGTTCGTAAAGTCATGCGTAAATTTACGAACAGCTTTATGAAACACCCCCCAGGTCATACAATAAATCTGTAATCTACTTGTGTCACTGGTTACGACAGCAGACAAACTAGATGAATGCGATTTGTTTTTTATATATATCTTAGCCTACTCATTTAATTGTCTTTGACATCATACTATGATTTATTTAACCATGATGCATATTTCATATTCTTGCTTTTTGTTTACCTTCTAGTCCCTCTACTCCATCTAACTGGGTCAAAAGTTGATTGACCACTCGGTCAGTGACCCCTGTACTGTCATGACCTCGTCTGAAAATAAATGAACAGGCAAAATGGTTAAAGTTCGAAGTTCAAAGTTTATTCACTTGATTTAAAAAAAAGGAACATGTACATTATTCAAGTATACAGTGAAATTAAGCAAAACAAAACAATATATAAATACAGAGTAGAAAGAAAGAAAAAAGATATAGAAGAGATCATCAAAATCATGTGATAAAATATCAATAAAATATCAATACAATTAACCTTTCCCACTAATAAGTAGGGTTGAAAATGAATTTTTGAGAGTTGACAAAAAGTTGAACCCTTCCATACTAAAGCACGGCTCGAAAATAAATTTGTCAGAGGGAAATGCCATTTCATATATCATTTCTATAAAAAGAGGAAAAGAAATGAGAAAAAGAAGAGGAGGAAGAAGAAGCAGCGGCAGCAGTAAAAGAAGAAGAAGACAAAGAAGACTAAGACGGAGAAGAAGAAGAGAGAGAAGATGAAGAAGAAGAAGATGGAGAAGAGGAGGAGGGGAAGAAGAAGATGGAGAAGAAGATGGCAAAGAAGAAGAGGAGGAAGCAGAAGCAGCAGCAGCAGAAGAAAAAGAAGAATAAGACGGAGATGAAGACAGAGACGTAGACAAAGAAGAAGATTGAGGAGAAGAGGAGGGGGGAAGAAGAAGATGGAGATGACCAAGAAGATGACAATGAAGAAGAAGAAGATAGAGGAGAAGAAGAAGACGACGAAGCAGAAGAAATAATGACTCACCTCGGTGCTAATGAATCAAACTCATCAAAGAAGAGGATACATGGTTTGGCGCTCATGGCTCTGGTGAAGAGATCCCGAACTGACTGCTCACTTGCTCCTATGTACTTACTCAATAACTCAGGACCCTGTGCAAATATTAAGAGTTTAATGAATGAATACAATGTAAGTTGTAACATTATTCAATGACCATGCACTTTCTAACAAGCTACTCCCTATTCCCTAACGCCCCACTTTTATTTTGACACAATAACCCCCCCCCCCCCCCCCCCCCCACAAAAAAAAAAAAAAAAACCAATACAAATAAAAATTAACAATCAAGGTGGTACAGTATAAAAACTGCCCTGGGTGTGAATAAATCCTTAAATAATTCTCCTAAAGACTTGGGAAGGCTGACAAGATTCCTTACCTGTGACTTTGGGGTACCATTATCCATACCATACTTTATGCCCCCCCCCCCCCCCCCCTCTTGGAACAGGGTTCATGACCTGCCATTTGTGATATTGTGTCAACCGTGATGAGAATACCCTACCCTATGTTGAGGTACGCCCCAAATCATTCATACACTAAAATAGGAGCTCTGTGGAGAGCTGCACAATGTGCACTTATACTACAACCTCCTAATGAATTGAAACACAAATTACTCCTGGGATCCATATTTGATTTCCCACAATATGATTCCCATGGCTTTTTCCCCCATGAAAAAAAGGCCCAAACTTGTAATTAAAGGTCATAGCGACCCTGATGAGACTAACCTTTATACTGATGAAGTTTAGTCCGCACTCCTTAGCAACCACGCCCCCCAGCAGAGTCTTGCCGGTGCCAGGAGGTCCATAGAGAAGCAGGCCTGACCGTAGTCTTAGAGGGCAGCTTGCAAACAGTTCAGGGTACTGCGGATGTCAGGTTGGGAGCAAAAGCAAGAAATCCAGTTAAATAGTTACAATCAAGATGGCTACTTCAACATACCTGCCAACATTTGAAAATAAGAATTAGGAATTTTTAGCATGTTATGCTTTCGAGAAAAAAAATCGCACTTGCAGCGGCAGTGTAACTGGCAATACCCGGTAAATCTGTACCAAAAAGCGAATACAAATTCGCTGCTCGATCATGCAGCAATTCAACGTACACAATAGGTGAACTCTCAAATCGCAGCACATGATAATACAACCTTAATTTGGCTTTAGCCGGATTATTTGTAAGGGCTGGCAGGTAGGCTTCAATGCAGAAGGTTTCTACTCTCTTTTCTGCATTCCATAAAATGGATAGCTGGCTGCTCGCATGGTTGGCCTCTATTCTAAGACTAATATTATCAATTTCAAAGTCATGAATAGGCACTTAATATCAACAAACACGGTCTACAACAACTCTAAATGACAAAATAATCCCAGCTATGCATGTTTCTTTAGCATTTGATAGCCCAAACTTTAACATTTTCGGCATTAAAAGTTATCTTTTGCCACATGTGCAGTGTGTATCAGGGGTGATGTTGAGAGTTAAAAGGAAAAAAAGGTATTAGTGGGAGTAAAAAAAAAAAAAGAAGAGGTTTTATAAATCCCCCTAGTCACGAAAAAATGGCACCTCACCACCTTAACTTTAAACCGGATTGACATCTCAGGGACTATCCATTTTTGGAGGAAAAAAATAATCATTTAAAAAATAGAAAAACAATAGGGAGAAGAAAACAATCAAGAAATTATCAGGGGGGCGTTTCACAAAACTTGTCATCAGTGACAAATGACAGTTTTTGTTATAAGCTACTGAAATCCTTGCTTCTGATTGCTTATCAACAGATTTGTCACTGATTTTTGTCATTTGTCATCGAAAAAAGGCTTTGTGAAACGGGTCCCTGGTCTGGTGTATGTAAAATTGTAATATATATAATAATAGTCCTAATGGAGAAGGCTAGGAACCGAGGGTTGTGGAACAGCATGATCGCCAAAGTCAATCAATGTGGCACTTAGAGAGAGAGAGAGAGAGAGAGAGAGAGGTAAACCTGACAAAAAAAGTGTCAGTCTTGGAGTTAGATCCTCAGCAAATAAAAGAGTTTGAAAGTTTGATTAGAGTTTATGAATGACATACCTTGGCTGGAAGCTGTAGAGTCTCCACAAGGTCCTGCTTGACTCCATTCAGCCCGCCCACATCCTCCCAGCCCAACTCCCCCGCACTGTGGAGTGGAACATCCCGTAGAGCTGCAGGGGAGTAGCTCTGTAATGCAGCCTCAAAGTCCTCCTGGCACAGAAGAATCTCATTACAGGGGTGGTCACCATCAGGCCCTGAGAGGGAAAATATTGTAATGATAATAACAAAAAGTGACAATCAAGTCTATGAAATATATTGTATGCAATGGAGAGAATTATATACCTTACTTTAGAAATCTAGCTATCTGATTGGTCGAAATTGGAGTCATGATTTTAGCCATGCCCCACCTACCAGTCAATAGTCTTTTGAAAAGCGCCCTAGGGCACTTTTCAAAAGCTCAATGGGTATAACTGGTGTACTGGAGTGGTAAAAGTTTTTCTACAGGAAACAGCAATATGTTGTCTCTAATAAATCTGACTTTCAAAAGGCCAGGATGTACACAAATATACCAAGTGTACAAGCCATTTTATTGAGATGTTTTCTGTTTCTTGTAATACTGTAAACGCTGTAATTTTCGCATGATTAATCTTTCGTGCTGAGCGACCCTAAAACATATTCGCTGGTTCTTAAATTCGCGATGCACGCAAAAAATCAGCCCGTTCAAAACACACATAAGAAGTCATACTTATATTTTCGCGAGTTATAAAACTTGCTCTTGCCGATCTTAGCCCCAAATCCGCGAAAATTTTCGCGTTTACAGTACCATATTCACAAATGAAACGAAACAACAATGGGAACATGCAGAGAGTTTGGACAAACTACAAAACCACATTTGTCTTGCTCTCATCAATTGCAGATTGATCTTTTCCTTAAAGGTAATACAAAGTTTTGGTATTGGGTCATGAATTTAGCTTAAATGAAAATTATTGAAAGCATATGCGATTTTACAATATTCCATGATCGTTGTTGCGGTCGAAATCGAGTCTTTATTGATGAACTTGTAAATATACTCTTTATGTCGTACAGTTTCCTCTCAAGACTGATGTTACTTTAGCTTTTAAACTATGTTTCTTGACTAAAATCAACCGATTTGCTATTCCCGTTTGGAAACGATATATCAGAACTGCATATTCTGAGATTTTCATGGTCGCAGCTACCATGGAATGGACTTAGGCGCTATTTGTAATATTTGAAATTTACTGGGAGCACCGATACATTTTTTATCATTAAATTACTTGAAAGCAGAAATATTTTAGGGGCTAAATTTTCTGGTGCTTATAATACATCCACAGGGGCATCCAAATATATAAAAACTTTAAAAATTACTGTCCATCCAATTTTCAAAATTTTCCCAAACTTTGCAATACCTTTAATGCACTTACCATGAATGCGAGAGGCATGAAGCCCTAGGGATATTTCTCTTGAACTCCCTGCATGCACCGCCCTCTCTGTGACAGTTACCAGGTCAGAGGCCACAAAGCCATCCATTTTTGCGCTCAGCAGGTTGGCGTCGACCTGGGTCAGAGTTTGAAGGTTAATCTCCACCTTGGAGTGGATGACGGAGGAGAGGAGGGATGCACGGTCCGGCTAGTGAGAAGAATAATAACATGCACTTGCAATAAAGCCTTGCATTATCAATTATTCCCTGATTACTGTGTAGGGTAATGGGGATAAAAATGAGTTGTCAATGTGACCCAAATCTCTTTACCTTGTGTATTTGACTGCGACTGGAATATTTCACTACTGGAAAATTTTACCATTGGCATATTCCTTTTATTAATAATAATAATAATAATAGTAATACTCCGTGTTTATATAGCACTCAATAAATCGATCCAACGATGTGCCTATGCGCTTTACAGATATATTATTACCCCGTTCATCGGATTCAGGCTCACCCGCACATGATGTATGCACATTTTCCCCTAACTGGGGAGTATTCCAGCCAGTCGCCATTTTACAAGCACACACTTGCCCGTCCAACCACATGAACTTTCGCATCCTACCGGGTACCAATTTAACACCTTGGTAGAAAGTAGCAAGTGCAGGTAAATATCTTGCTAAAGGATATTAGTGCCGTGTCGGGATTCGAACCCTCAACCTTCGCATCTCCAGTCAAGCGCCTTACACCACTCGACCATGATACTCCATAATCAGAACTATTATTACATCATCACCATTATCCATATAATCATCGTCATCATCATCACTACCTCTACCTACATCATCGTCTCTATCACCACCACCACCACCACCACCACCACCACCACCACCACCACCACCACCACCACCACCACCACTTCTACCATTTCTGCATCTCCTTCCTTACTGTGTTCACATATTTTCAATATTACTCTTCGCTCACCTTTGAGAGGGGACTGATCTCTAAGCAAGACTGGAAGAGATGAAGACCCCTTGAAGACAGAAGAGACTGGTGGATGGATTTCTTAGAGGAGCAGGTTGCTAGGAGAGCGATGCGACTCCCCTCGTTGATCTCATTGGTTACCAGATCCTTCAGAACTAGACAGGTGCAAGGAAAACAAATCGGTCTTGGTTTAAATCAAAGGGTACTACAGTGCATTTCAAAAATAAAGTATACCCATCATTGGTAGCTTAGAATTAAAAAGTGTCATCAATGTGACCTTTAAGGTCATTTCATGGTAAAGATATACACTGTACTTGTTTTCTGTCTAATGACACCATATTCATAATTTTTCTGCCACGGATGACTGAACACCAGATTTTTTTAAAATTCTGTCTCAATCTCCTCATACCAATTTTGGGCTGATGCCACTAAACGTGAGTCGGCCCATATGCATGTTACATTGGTCTTAGATTGTTTTAAAAGTGAAATTCTGCTTCATGCTTCAGTGCTTAGTTATTTAAAGTGAACCAATGTATCTATTAGCTTCAACAGGAACTTGTTTCAATCTAAAAGATAACCTCAAATTAACTTAAACAGCTTACTAACTTCTTCTCTCATAAATTTCACTTTTATGAGTTGACAATGTCACATTTTATATTCAAATCCTTAAAAAATCAATGTGAATTAGTCAGTGTTTATATTTGGACTAAAATAACAATACGTTAGGATTTTTGACCCACATTTAATCATTGTTTCAGCCCAAACTTGGTACAAGTAGATTTTGAAAACACTTTTTGAAAAGCCTGCTGCTCAGTCTTCTGTGGTTGACTTGAATACCTTTCATCTCACTTCTAATGGGGCCTTGCGAGAAAGTTGCAGGCAACAACAAATCCCCAAAATCAAGCATAAGTCTTGCCATTAATTGTAAATTTGCAATTTATCGCATTAGTAAGAGAGAGAGAGAGAGAGAGAGGGGGGGGGGGATAAAAGCTAGATATAGTTAATCTAATTTAATTGTTAAAACTTTAATCCTAACAAAATCCTAGGAAATTTAGGAGACTAGTGGGGCATTGCAAGAAAATTGAGTTGCAATCGATTGCAAATATCAGTTGCAAATTTTGCAACTTGCAATTAGTCGCAACTTTCTTGCAAAGTCCCATAAGTGTTCTTTTAGAACAAATCCTCTTTGTACCTTGGGCAAGACGAGAATTGTAGGTGGCTTCTGGCCCCATCTCTTGTTCCGGCCCCAGAGGAGCTGAGGTCACATGGTCTAGATCATCCAATAAGATGACGGAAGGTTGACGCCAAGCTGCTTCATCAAAGGCCTCCTCCCAGATCTTCCTGATCGTATCGACTCCCTTACCTAGACATTGAGAAAATACCATAGCCTTGCGTGATAATTATGAACATTTAAGTCGGTCAGGAATCCCATGATTTTTACAAGCTGATCGCCTGTCTGATTATCAAGATATTTATGATTGGAAATCAAAATCGAATTTTGCGTTTTCCTAATGGTTTTTATAACACTACAGTCTATTGGGGAAAATGAGTATGGTAAAACTGGTCACTCAAAGATTTTTACTTTTTTGAGGCACTTCATGATCATTTTAGAACTGCAAATTTGTAGGGCTTCAGTATTACACAATATCACAGACACTGAACATACCTTGGGCCATGCATCTCAGATTTAACATTGTTAAACGATGGCTTTAAGATGATACATACTGTCAAAGCCCCTGTTGTGTTTTGGCAATTCCCCTAAAATTGATATAGCAGAGGTATTGTGCAGTACAAGCCAAACTTTCATGGTAAGATATCTTTGCTGATGACATGGACACATTTTGAGGGGTAATTTTTTGTTTTCGCAAAGATGAACACAGGCTACATAGAGGTGTTGTGGTCTGGGGGATACATCATTTGACTGTGGATCATATGGTTTGCAGTTTGAGTCCTGCTACGACACTAATGTCCTTTTGGCAAGACATTTATCTGCATTTGCTACTCTCCACCCACATGTTAAACGGGTACCAGTAAGAAGGAATTCCTTGAATGCTGTGAGCATTGAAAATTGTAGCCTAGAAGAGCCGGAGTAATATTTAATCTCCAATATAATCATTATATTAATTATAACATATATTCACACATTTACTGCCAGCTCGTTTTGGAGTATTGTTACATTTGCAACCTCACAATTCTTAAAACTTGCAAAAGTAAGTGGCTTTCACATTAGGTTAATAAACGGCAAGATTAAAAAAGCTGATTTTCGTATCTAAAGGCGAAACATTATTTTCACACCACGTCAGGAAAGTATTTGTATTGACTTCATTGACTTGATTTTCAGTTGCCCCCAAAACCAAGATATTTGTAAAATCCTTCTTTATTATTATTATTATGTTACCCTTTTTCAGTCGTCATACAAAATGAAAAGAAGTGAAATTCTTCATTACTTGTGAGGCTGAATTGCCATTAGGTCTGACATCATTCTGTCCATCAACATTGTTCAATAAACTATTTGTCAAACCATCATTTTGTCTAATAATGATGTAAAAGTGTACCTTTCAAGGCGTGGCACTCTACCACTTTGACGTAGGCTAGAAGGGGCCACTCCGAGGCCTCCTGACACACCGCCTTGGCCACGGTGGTCTTCCCAGAGCCACGCCCGCCACAGATCAACACCCCTCCGTGTCTCTGACCGGGAACCGAGGCACACAGCTGGCGACCTAGAGGTCGTGAGGTCAAAGTTGCGGTGATGTGCTCGAGGGCTCCACTACCAAGAGTTGCCATTGGTCTACCGATAACAAATTATAAAACAAATGTGATTAAAGGGATCCGGTAACTTTGTCTTACATTTAAATCCTTTTAAAATCAAGAACCCCATGACTTTTACTAGCCGATCACCTGTCTAATTATCAAGATATTTATGATCGAAAATCGAAATTCAAATTTTGCGTTTGCCAAACGGTTTTCATAACAGTAGTCTATTGGGGAAAACAAGTATGGTAAAACCGGTCACTCTAAGATTTTAATTTTTTGAGGCACTTCTTGATCATTTCGAAGCGCAATTTTGTTAGGGCTTCAATATAACACCATATCACAGACACGTAGGGCCGTGCATCTCAGATTGAACATTGTTAAACGATCCCTTTAATAATAATAATACAATATGTAATAACAACAACAACAAAGGTATCACGATCGTGTATAGTGCATATCACATTATTGCGGATGTCTCTGTGCACTTTCAAAGTGAATAAGGACTTGGCCAAGATACTCTCCCTTCAACATTCAATTGCATTCTACCACATCGTCGTACTGCACTGGCAACAGCACCCATCCGCAACAGGGGTCTGATGATCAATTTAGGTTGCCAAGTCAGGGGTTCACTCATCAAGACAATTTTGGAACAAACTTGTAAAAATCGTCTTGAAGATGGAGCACAAGGAAAGAATATACAAATGATGTTTTATAACATGATTTCACTAATGACCGGTCATTACCGTTGGATAATGACCAGTCATTATCCAAATTACGCGTTAGGCAAAATAAATGCCTGGTCATGTGTATGCTCTCAACCAATCATTTGATAAGGATCAACATCATCATCTTATAATAATAAATATTACACATACCCAAGCTCTCTGAGTCTGAATCCCTTTGTGATGTCATCTAGCTCCTCCACACTCCTCACAGGAAGTTCTTTTACCATCTCATCAGCCACCTTCTCCCTCTTGGGCTTCTGGCCGAGGGAGGTCTCTGCCTTCCGCGTCACGAAGGGATGCAGAAGAAAGTAGGATTCCTTTGTGGATTCTTTCACATCATGATTGACTGATAGAAGGAATTCACCTGTAAAGTCTAGATAGCATGACAAAAGACGAAAACAATTGTTAGAGAGGGGTAAGTCAGGTCTTATTCCACAAACCCTCTCTATCCCCTCTGCCCATCTGTGTCTCAAGTCTCTTAACTCTCTCCTTAAACTTAAAACTCTCACAGAATTACATCACATCATGATTGACTGATAGAAGGAATTCACCTGTAAAGTCTAGATAGCATGACAAGGAAGAAAACAATTGTTAGAGAGGAGTATTAAAGTCAGGTCTTATTCCACAAACCCTCTCTATCTCAGTCTCTTAACTCTCTCCTTAAACTTAAAACTCTCACAGAATTACATTGCATCATGATTGACTGATAGAAGGAATTCACATGTAAAGTCTAGATAGCATGACAAAAGAGGAAAACAATTGTTTAAAAGGTCCAATTTAGGTCTTAATCCCACAAACCCTCTTATCTCTCTGCCTATCAGTCTCTCAACTCTCTCCTTAAACTTAAAACTCTCACAGAATTACATTGCATCATGATTGACTGATAGAAGGAACTTGTCCACAAATTTAACAGAAAAGATAAAAAAGAAATGGTGAAATTGGGTGTCTGGTCAAGGCTTTGGAAAATATAGGCCTTTGGCGTTTTATCCATCTCTATATCTCTCTCTCTCCCTTCCTACCCCCTGCTTTCTCGCTTAACGTATACAAAAACAAAATTCCTAGACTTTCTTATTTTGTATAACACATATTTTCTCTCTATTGTACACACAGAAAACATTGATTCTGACACAATTTGGGGCATACATGATAGCGAAAAAGTCACAAATGACCAGTGATCTTCTTTTTGTTTGGGGGGGGGGGGACTATTTATCTATTTCTGCAATTTCCTTCTTTTTTTTTAAATGTTCTATAAAACTTAAATTGTACTAATCACTAAAACATGTTTTGCTCTTGATGTAAGAGGGACCCTGTCACTATACTGTATTCAAAGTATAAGCTTCAATTATTACTTCTACAAAGAGATTTTATAGTTTAAATACACAGTCAGTCAGTGAGCAACTTTAATGTTTTTTTTCTTGTTGTCCTTTATTTTTTTCCAGGCTCTTTTCCATTGACCTATAGAATGCTAGGCTAAGTTTTGGGGGATAAATTTATGCATTCTACATGTAACTGTACACAAATTAATTTTCAGTTAAAAAAAAAGAAGGGTAGGCACAATTTGTTTATTTTATCCCTTACCCACATTATCAAAAAATAACCACAAAAACTTAAAAATTAGAGACACATTTAACATTTGGTCATTTTTTTTGTGTTAGAACACGTGGGAAAGTTGTTAGGCAGTACATCTCAGTGACATTATTAGCTGATTTGAAATTCCCATACGTACAGTGATTAAAACTTTCAAAAATTCATGACTTCCTTATATTATATCTGATTTTGTTCAAACCCGCACCAGTTTACTCCTCTGATTTTTTCCTGCTTTCTTTTAGAGTCGTTTCTTTAGGGTTAGACTCCCCTTTAAAGAGAAGGTTGAGTTCTGGGAAGAGGTGAAAAATAATTTGTGAGCGTTATCATTGTTATTATGCAAGGGTGGAAGAACATGAGATAACACATGTTCCCTGAAAAACATGGCTCTTCAAATGCCTTCATATTATAAATATGGCATCTAACATCGCAAAAATCGGGACGGATATTTGCGCCATGTGTTCGTGTAGTCCCATATACATCCTTCTGTGTACAGTGCTTGTAACTTTACCAAGACTTGGCCAAATTTCTTATCCTTTTGATGATTCCAGAACCTTGCAATACACACAAATACTTATATGCTAGATGATCAACCTTTTCTGGTCGGTTCCACACCGTTTCTTTCATAATGCAATCGCATGACCAGAACTCAACTTTATCTTTAATCCGATAGGTGCCGTTACATACCTGGTGTGATTGGGAAGCTGAAAAGGTTTCCAGATTGTACAATGGGTATCGGAGAGATCATACAGCTAACACAGGTCAGCCATTGGTTGAAGGCTCGTAGAATCATAGTCTCATTCATATTATCCTTCTGAAAAGAGAGTTAGAAGACATGATAACATGAAGTAAATGGTAAAAATCTAGGGATATAAATACAGCAATTCATCACAAAACAGTACCTTGCTGCAATTGTAACTGAACCGAATTCCTTGGAGATTCATCTAATCAACCCCAAAATTGAAATCACTCATCATTATTTATTGATAGCAGAAACTGAAATAAAACTCAGCAGTTTCAAAGATTGAACCTAAAGATAGTGAGGACATAACAATTTTATGAATGAGCCATTATTATGTTAAAATTCACTTTAGTATTCAACTGTACATTGAAGTCTAGATTCTGGTGTTGTGCAATGTTTGCATTAATATTCAAAGGGAGATTATTCCTTTTATAGGTGGATGATTAACAAAAAGACTAATTTATGTACATGTAATAATAATCATATCTTCACAATGTTCTAATTGCATCACTTTTAAATATGACAATCAAACTCAAAGTTGATTTGTTTTTTCAACACATGTTACAAAAAGATAAGGGCACTCTACAAATTCCAAGAATGGATAAGATAGGTATCCATATCTTACCAAGTCAAAAAGTGGAGCAAGGATCATGCTCTGGATGGGCGAGGGTGGACTGACAACCGGTTTGAGCTGGACACCAGCGGATAACTCCAGTCCCATCTGCCTCCTAAGGATATCAGGGATCTGTATGTACCACTGGGTGGGTTTGTCCTGGAAGACTGTGGAGGAATATGGGTTGACAGAGTCCTTCTTGCAGTGGGACTTGAGCTCGTGGCAATGGACGATGATCCTGACAATGCAGGAAGACTTGCCATCTCTTGTCTCTACAGATTCACCAGCGCCAATTTGAGGCCCATCGTTTCCATCCGAGTTGTTACTCGCATTGTTCAATGAAGTCGTGTTGTTCTGCTCCTTCTTCGACTCCTGCAGGAGCTTTCGTTTGATTTCCTCGTTGCGTTCTTTGGGAGACGGCTGCTTGGTCATGGTGGCAAGGAAGGTGACATATTCTGAAGGGGGCGTACTTCCCTCCTCTTTCGTGTTGGCTGCGTATTGCCATAAGAACTCAGAGTCCCCTACTGAGCTCAGGTAGACAGTGGTGGGTTGCATGAGGTTGGACAGAGAGTCCGCTTCCCCTGGCAAGGGTGGGCTATCAGTTGATCTTGAGCCCAATGGCTCGCGAGGTTTCACTACGTGAGAGGTCAAGGACATCTGTCTGGTGAATCTATTGCTAGTCTTCCTGTGGGATCTCTCAGGAGAAGAAACATCCTTTTTCTGGTCCTCAGAGCTTTCACTGCTTGTGCTGGTCGACCCCTCCCGTTGTCTCCTAGAGGTCTTCAGGCTTTTCTTGTGATTGAACATGGGTTGGACCCTTGCAACAATTCTAACGTCCTTCCAGAATTCGGCTGCCATCTTCCTTCTGGCATCTTCCTCGTTTGCACAGTCCTGTCGTACTCTGTTTGCGTCTGCCTCTCTGGACACAAAGGACAGCAGCTTCCTCCAGATCTTATATGACCACGGAATAGCGCCCTCTACATCAACAGGGTCAACCTCCCAGGGCATGCTGGGAATGTTGGTCTCTCCTTCCTCTGGTTTAGAGACACGGCTCGTGTCGTAACTCCACACATGGTTATCAAAACCGCTGGAAAGTGAGCTCATCGAGTCAAAATCACTGATGTAACCCGACACTGAACTGTTCCCACTAAGCTCGGATGAGGAGCTGCCTGAACCCGAATCCGAACGACTTTTGGTCTGTAATAACCCATGTCCTGGATGGATGTCTTGTCTTGATGGAGTAGGTGGGGCCGATTGTGGAAGACGGTTCTTGGGGGTTATGATCATCTCTGTGTTTTGCTCTAAACGGACGCATGGGGCTTCAGGTTCAGTAGAAGCTGTAACATCAATATAAACAATTGAGATATCACAAACATTGAGCTTAAATATCATGGACACATACCTCTGTGTCACAGCAGACAGTCTATCACATTTATTACATTGACTCAATTAACTCTTATCCTGCCATAATGAATACAGCCTAATGCCACAGGGTTAATTCCCATTGTGCCAAGCCTCAAATCCCCCTGTGCCAAGTTAATTTTGAGGTAATCTGATTAACCCAGATGGTACTATCAATAGCATGTGCGAAACACTAGGCAAAGTGCAATGGGCATGAACAATAACTGCTATTACGAATGCGAGCATGCATGCACAAAGCAGATAAGCGGTAGCTCGCTTGCATGAATGAAGCAACCAATCGATAGCGCGCTCGCATGTACAAAGCACTATAACGGTAGCGTGCAAGCAGCCTTAAGGCAGGATATGAGTTAAGTGACTGGAAAGAAAGAGTACTTGTACCAACAACAGTACACTCCCACTTTACAACCTGGTATGTAGTTAATTATGATAAATCTTAGTGCGTTAAGTCAGAACTTTCCTCATTTTTCTTCTTCTTCATCAGATGTGTATTCTTTCACCAAGTACTCCAAGAACATTACATGTACTGTAATAACAATGTGCAAATATTGCCTTCCCCGCTTGACATAGAAAAAAAAATCAAATAAAGTTATGAAAGATAGAGTTGAGTACGCATCATGTGACTGCATTGTGAAAGAGGTAAAATGATAAGAAATTGACTAAATCTCACTAGAATCACTCATGGTGAAAAGCACTGCACACAAACAAGTATAGGACTACACACATACAAGTGGCATACAATTATGGTTCAAAGATTTAAGCTATTTCTCGACATATCTCAAATATGAGGGCATTTCAAACACAATGCCTTCCATGTGACTCTGTACAGCTATGTATGATTTTTTATAATTTTTTTTTTAACAAGGCTCATAAAATTTAGTTTAAACCGGCACTCAGCCTTCTCTCTTACTAAAGTTTATTAAATAAATAATGTGCTTGCTTACCTATTTTGATAAAGATGCACATCTTATCGATCCAGACAGGGATCACCTGCCCTGACCAGACGACACGCACTTGGTCCAAGAGACGAGTTTCTATGTACGATGAGTTCAACTCCTAGCAAAGGTAGAATAATAATAATAATATTTAGTTTTTATATAGCGCTTAATACAAATGTCTCTAAGCGCTTTACAAATATACCATTACATCAGTCATTGGATTCAGTGCTTGCCCGCACACACTGTACGCACAATCTCCACTCCCTGGGGAGCATTCCAGCCAGGCGTTACATGACGCTCAAACACTGTTTGACCAACAATGACGGTGGCATCCTATACCGGGTACTCATTTAACACCTGGGTGGAGTGTAGCAAGTGCAGGTTAATATCTTGACAAAGGATATTAGTGCCGTGTCGGGATTCAAACCCTCGACCTTCGCATCTCCGGTCAAGCGCCTTAAACCACTCAACCTCGAACAGGAGATGTACACATCAACATATGACATAAGTGTAATATAAAGAAAGGTTTTCTACTCATTTGAGGAGGCGCGATAGCTCAGTTGGTAGAGCAGTGGTCTCTTAATCAGGTGACCCGGGTATGAAACCAAGGCGATGCGCTAGTGCCCTTTGGTAAGGCAGTAATCCTCATTACCAGGTCCCTCGGAGAGGACCTAAAGCCGTTGGATTGCTTACTTACAAGCATTTATGTTTTCTTAGCAGTCAGGTAAAATAATCACCATTACCACCACTGTTTGCTCAGTGGTGACTACCACTAGGGTTTTATTAACCAGTGGAAGAAGAATTTCCAAATGGACAATAACGCTATATTTATACTTCTTACATAATGTACCTACCAGGTATATGTTTAAAAAGCACACATTGTGATTATTTCACGAAGTTTTACAGTATTGAAACATTACATGTATTACACAAATGCACCTATCATTATATATGATTTGTAGCTTTCACAATCAGACATTTCCAATGCCATACACAGTTCCACAGTAGATATTACTACCATCTCATGGTTTTGTTAAACTTCACAAGATGGCAATGAAGCTGTGTTTCTTAAAGCATATCATCAACCTATTGTTTATACGTTTACAAGTTCAAATTGAATGACACAGCACGTGGTCCACAAGCAGAGAAAATAACGATGCTTGTGGGCAGAGGAAAATAATAATGCATAGATATTTACCAGTATTTCCCAGTCATCTACCGAGGCAGGTTCTACAGTCACTTTGTAGCAAGACCAGACGGACGTCACTTGCTTCATCAGGACCTACAGCAGGTCAAAACAACCCAAAACAATGTACATGTAGGTATAACAAGATTCTATTTTTGTTCACACAAGTTTATAATTCAATCATTGTAATCGTTTTGTGAGTTGAAGCAGATGGGAAAGTTGTCCACTACTTTATTACAAAAACAATACCGATTCGGCCTACTTGAAATATCCATGTGAATAGTGATTACAACATCAAAGATTCATAACTTTCTAAATGCTTGTCTGATTACAGTAAAGTTTTTACCAATATATATATATATATATATATATGCTTTTATGATTTTTCTGATTGAATTCAGTGCAACTGGTTATGATAGTTGGGTTTCCCTTAAAGACGCATAGAAGTGGGCTCTCATGGGGGACATCATGAGGGGTTTACTCTGTAACAGGTGCTGTCAATCACAAGGATTAGCCTTCAGTTTGATGACCAATAGTACTTACGTAAAGCTCTGCATTTTCCACCAATCGCCCCACATGGAAAAGTCATTATCTTAGAATCCCTCACCCGAAGACTCTCCGAGAGACTAGGGGGTGTATCTCTATCTTGATGGGACAACAGGTTTGCTGTGTGAGACTTGAACACCCATTAATGGTATTCCCACCAAATCTAGTGTCAGTGAATAATGACCTACTACACACTGACTACCGTCTCCCTTTACAGGTGGCCATGCACTACAGGAGTTTAGAGAGTGGTTGGAAGGGCACTGACCTCTTGCCCATGTCTCAGACCAAGTTTGTTTCCCAGAAGGCCATTGATTTGGATGGAGACATCGCTATTACTGGCACCCAGCGAGGCTCGGCTGATCTCACCAGACCAGCTAAGGTAACCCTTGCCGCTATCTCCCCATTGCAGCTCAAAGGCAGACACCTGTATGAAGCAAATGTAAATAGAGATCAAATGAGGTGAAGAGAAGAAACAGATTTATCATTAAAGACCGTCAATACTACTGGGCCAGAAGGGATTAGACCACCCAGCCAGGTCACTGATAGGTGGCTATCTCATCAACTCGGCTCAACTAACATAAGAAAAAGAGGATCATGGGGGACCAACAGGCACCGATTGGGGTAGTTTTCTATATAGAGGGAGCAAGTAGCTACAAGTAGGACAGTGGGGCTTTAAAGGTAATGCAAGTTTTGGGAAAATTTGAAAATTGGATGGATAGTGATTCTTTGAAATTTTGATATATTTGGATGCCCCTGTGAATGTATTATAAGCACTAGAAAATTTAGCTCCTACACTTCTGCTTTCGAGAAATTGAATAAATCAAAATTACCGGTGCTCCCGGTAAACTTCAAATATATTTTAAATATCGCCTAAGGCCAGCTTGCACAAAATAGTTGCCAATACAATGGGGGCTTTGGAGCGGCTTTTGAATGACCACAAAGGGTAATAATTAGTCATTGTCTGGGAAGTTTGTTGATGATGATGGTGATGATAATGTAAATATGGCTTAATTGGGTAGTGGATGATTATAAAACCGATGATAGTATTCAATCTGGTATGGTGCATCTACATGTACATTGTATCTTTGCAGGCCAGAGGCTGCTAACCCTGGGATAAAATATAATACCAAGACGTATCGTCCGACTTTATGTCTCCTGCACCAATGCTACATGCAGTCTGGTAGTGCTAGTGACACCAGATAACGATCCATGGCAAACTTTCCATAAAAGACAGATATCCCATTTCCATCTTACCTCTTTTCTTCTGAACTCCTGGGCCCATGAATTGGGTAGAACCAGGAAACAGTTCTTGTTGGAGTTGAAATCAACAGTGGCTATCTTTGTCGTCCCAAACATCTTGCTAATGATGTCGTCTGTTGACCAAGACATGAGCTGGGTTTATGTTGGGTTTTATCTACATCTATCCCTTCGGATGACATTCTCTTCTACTTCATGGTAGCAAAGCACTTCCATACATCCTGCAAAAGAGAGAGAGAAAGAGAATAATAACTAGATGGAACTTAGAATGCGCGCAGTTGAAAATGATGCCTCCGCCAAAGAGCGAATTCACAAATCAAAACAGAAGCAGTTTTTCAAATTCAGATTCTCAGAATATTGTTATTACAAGCTATTTTTCATACATGTATGACGCTTTTATCTTTGACCCCATGACCCTAAAATCTACATCAGTTCATTGGCTCAGCAATATACATAAATGTCCTGGGTTTGATTGTAATCTGTCCATCGGATCTAATGATGTAGTCACAAGCTATTTTTGCATACATAATGAGCACTGTGACCTTTGACCTCGTGACCCCAAAATCTAATCAATTCATTGGCTCTGCAAGATACATACATGACCTAAATTTGGCAGGAGTCTATCATTCGGTTCTTGAGCTAACGCGATCACGAGAACGGGACATACAAATGTACAGATGTACGTACGTATGGACGGACAACCCGAAAACGTAATGCCTCCGGCTACTTCGTAATGGAGGCTTAAAAAGTGATAACATTTAGTCCCAAAACAACAATATATCTAAATTTGTTACACTCATACTTAAAGACCAAGTCCACTTAACTGACAAGTTGAGCTGATTAGATAGACAAAAATCTAAGAAGTCCAAATGTTAGCAATAAGGGCATTGTTCCAAGAATGAGAATCATCTGCATAAACGACGATATCCTTTTAAACGCGGACAAAAGGCGTCCCAAAAAATAAGGATTTTGATCTTCGGCCAGTTCGGCGCTCTGCAGGTTTTGTGTTTCCGATACGAGTGCTGGCAATGTGAAAACGGATTCAGCGTTATAGAATACCACCACTTCACCGTCTACTTTTATGGGTTGTCCGTCTTCCCGACTCCCGAGGATTTATCGCTCGTAACGTGAAAGTCTCTGTACCAAGTCAATGTGAAATTCATCAAGAGATTCATTGCATAATTCGTTTTTCGCATCACCAAGTTAAATTACACCCAGATCAGCAATCAAATTCATCAGCAAAAATGCGGACGATCCTTATTCTCTGACCAGCGCAAATTAAGGCTAAAAAAGTCTAGAGGAGTAGAGACTAGATCTAGATCTAAGTTAGTGATATCAAAATCATGTCTTGCCATTTAGGCTAACTCCAACCTGCCACCAAGCGCGTCCCAGAACTCCCAGTTTCTCCCCTCCGCCCCCCTCGGCCCTCCCACCTCCGATCTGCAGCTGCATTGATTTGCTGTGTATTACTAAATTTTTTTTTTTACAGACGGCAATATTAATTTATGGGACTAAAGACACACTAAGATTACATTTATAATGCAAAAACATCACTCATACACACAGTTACAAGCAAATTAATTTTCATTCAACGAATCATGCTCAAACAAAAGGAAAAAACTGTTGAGATTCATAAACTTTAAAGGAAATATGCCCCTTACATTTTGGAGAAGGTGAATTTCAATACGCCTTTCTTCGTAAAAAACACTGGAAATTGTTAAGTCAGGGTCAATGACCTTTTTACGAGCTGGTACAATTTCTTCCAAAAAACATAGCCTGTGATAGCACACCGCATAGATGAGGAGCTCCTACGAAGATTCGTTCGAATGCAGTCTCTTTTGCATGCGCTCGACGTGCGGATGTGATATAAGTCGACATTTGACATGTACTTGTCTTCCCAGAGTTCCGTACGTGTAGCCATATTGCAATACACACTGACAAAACTTCATATTCTGAAAGTGAAAACAAAGAGGGATTCGCTCAACTTTTGTCTCTAAATTGTAATTTCGAAAGTGATGCATGCCTCTCTCAAGCAAAGAAAAGATTGCCTCATGCAAGACCACCCTGGAGGCGAACACGCGAAAGCGTAGAGCGTCTGATAATAATCACCTTCATACGAAGAGAGCCAGGGACGATCTCGGCACCGGCGAACACAGGCAGTCGGAAGCCAAAAATATGGGCGAAGCGACGCCCAAAAGAGCAAACTTTTCTGCGTTAAACCCGTCAAATAACGGGTTCAACAGCAGGTCATCACCTCTTGTAAATAACAAACCAGGGACCTCGAAAAAGCTTGTTATAAAGAATTTCAAAGGTATGTTATCAAATCTAGTTGAAAACAAAAATGGAAAGTTTCCTTTAGATCTAGACCTAGATCTAATTTAATAAAAAAAAATTAAAAAGTCGAACAACATGTCGACATGAAAAAATAAAGATGGCAAGCAGGCCAGGCAAGGAGACAAAGAATGTCTAAGATTAAGTGAAATGACAGTAGAGTAGAAATAGGTGATATTAAGTTGAGAGGAATAGTTTGAATTTAGGGGAGAATGAAAATTTGCGATGGATGTTGATCATGGACATGAACGGATGAATGAGACGGGAAAATGGGACAAGTAGAGAAAGAGAGACTCTGAGTCTGAGTGAAAGAAGGGGGGGGGGGGGTCTGAAATGGATTCTAAAGGCACAGAAACTAGAATCTTTCAGGGGCCCGCTTCTTGAAACCTTCATAATTTTAATAACTTCTTATAGGTCTACCTTGAATACCTTGAAAGCTTCTGGGGTGGCCGTGGGGCCCGTTCCTAGAATAGAAATCGTCGTACTTCTTGACTATTCCATTGAAACGTGTGTTATTTCTATAACACACGTTTCAATAGGACTTGTGACGGTTTCTAGGAACGGGCCCCTGGAAGAAAGCCGTCTCCAGCTGCTAAGCTTCCAGGTCTAACTTCAAGGGGGGGGGGGGATGTCCCAGTTTCCGAGTCTTGCACCATGGTCTTTTTACATCTGTATCTTACTTGCTGGGGCGTATCGGGACTAAATCAGCGTTAGTGAGCTACATGTGCTTGTCCGCTACGTCACTACGTGTTTCACAAAGCCCTTTTTGCCAAGATCAACAACCTGACTAGGTAGTTATGAAATGACCCTTCCAACATTGTCATTTCTCTGTCATAAACTTTTAGTTGATGGGCAGCCTGGGCAGGGCCATCACATGTCATTTATTGGGTAGATTTTATCTGGCAAAAAAGGAAAAGAAATCCTCCAGCTATGAATTAGATCTAGATCTTTCTCACATTATCTTAAACTGGGAGTTATCGTTTTTTATAGACCTACATGAAAATCTTTTAAAAATATGCCATGTTTATATTTAACTTACGACTTTTTCCTCTTAACTAAACGGATTATACAATGTACACGTTTATTTCCACATTGTAAAATCCTCAAAGGGATGGGGAATATGCCAAGGCAGGCAAGCCATAGTTTTTTCTTCTTTTTTTTTCTTTGTTTTCTTTTTTTCCTTTGTTTTCTTTTTTTCCTTCAGGCAAGCCATAGTTAGAAGTAAAGTTAGAAGTGTATTCTCTAGTTTTCAGATCTACATTGATTTTGAGTTAAATTCTAGACCTACATATATCTTCAAATGTGTAAACTGAATAGTTTAAAACATACATGTGTTTAAACTTTTGGAATGTTGAAGTTTTGACATCTTAATATTGTGCTGTAGCCTAAAACATCGGCAAAACTTTCATAACATCGTATTTTTACTAAGAATAATATAAGGGTGTATTTTTATAAACTATTAAATGAAAATATCTGGGGGTCACCCTTCTCAAATAAAAAACTGATTTATCGGTCATGAAATGAAATACTCACAATTGTATTTTAGAAGTAATTCTATGGTTTAATCTACATCCACAAATTTTGCAGTGTATCGCATCACTTATTCCTGCATAGTACAACTTTCACTCTTTTTTATTCGTTACTCATTTAAATAATTGCAGTTTTCCAAAAAATTACTTTAAAAAAAAATCTGTTGGAATTGCTAAGGCTTAGTCTTGGCTGCTCTTCTCCCTGATAGTCTTGAGTTCACCAAATATTACAAACTCAATAATTGTATTCAAATTATTTTGAGATCAGTATTAAACAAGAAATGGGAATTGTCCTCCGAATGTGAAATTTGTCAGCAGCCAACAGGAGTTGAGAAAAATCTTTCAAGAACACAAATCATCTCATTGATGTATATTTAAGGAATACAGATTTGCTGTAACACCAACCCCCCCCCCCCCCCTTCCAGGGCAATCAATTTGAAAATACTATTGATTAAAATCAGCATCAGCAGAATAGCTAAATACATGTATGGCACTGATACAGGGTAACCCCTCCCAGAAAAAAAAGTTTAAAAATGAAAAAAAAAGACATCCAAATAACTCCTTATTTGCTATTCATTTTGAACAGTCAAGCCTGTCCTCCCAGCCAACTACCAACAGCAGACATGGGACAGACTGAAGGAGGCCGTCCAAGCCATCCACAAGAGCAGGCCCATCAAGTACAGTCTAGAGGAGCTGTATCAGGCGGTCGAAAACATGTGCTCGCACAAGATGTCTGCCTCCCTGTATGACCAGCTCAAAGAAGTCTGTGAACAGCATGTGGCTTCACAGACTGGACAGTTTACTAGATATCCTTTATTATTACATAACCGTTGTACAAGCAATATCTGCTTGGAGAGAAAGTCGCATGAGAGAAATCTACTTCTTGTACCTCAGATGTAAATGTCCACAGATGAAAACAGTTATGATCTTTTACGGACTAGATGGTAGCTTATTTTCACTATACTTATTTAAACAATAAATTGCAGGACCTGATGTTTATAAAATATTGATGAAAATTTGCATTTTCAGCAATACCAAAGTATTTTCTTTCAGTGTGATTAAAAATGAAAATGTAGATTAAAAGTGAAAAGTAAAGTAATTGTAGAAAATTATCATATGTACCAGTAATGATTACAATTTTGTATTTTAAAAACTTCTTGACGTCTTTCTTGAATCAGTCCATCTTTGGTGGAGGGAGAAAGGTGTACTTTTATGAAAGGAAGTCAAAGTTAAAGAGATGAGAAGTAAAGGTTTGGGAATCTGCTTTCTTTTGGATCATGGGGGACCAATGGTCACCAATTAGGCATTGTTTGCTATATAGAGGCCGCAAGTAGCTATAAGTAGTGCAGTGGGACTTTAGGTGATTTGAGAGAATTGTAGAATTTATAGCCTTGACTTCTTAGCACTGAAATGACAGACAGTCTGACGTACTTGAAGCAACTTAACACCTGCTGGCAAGATCACTGTAGGCAGATGGTAAGTTATTTCTTTTATTTACAAGGGAGGTGTTTCACAAAGATCCCAAGTCGAACTTAACTGTAAGTTGGACTTGAATATTATGGAGAGCCATTTGTAGCCTTTAAAGGTAAAGACCAGTATTGGAAACGCCCCAATTTCAAAAAATGAAATGGAAGCTCTCATTACCAATCATGTGAAAGAATATGTTTTGACTAATACATGATGATAAAAAATTTGCCGGGAAACCGCCTACTAATTCATATATTTGGTAAATTTGTTTCTCTCATGGTCTGTGAGAGATATAGGGTAGTCCCATATACATCTTTCTGTGTATAGTGCTTGTAACTTTACGAAGAATGGGCCAAATTTCTTATCATTTTGATGATTCCAGAACCTTGCAGATGCTAGATGCTAGATGATCAACCTTTTCTGATCGATTCCACAACGTTTCTTTCACAATGCAATCGCATGACCATAACTGGTCTTTACCTTTAAATGAAATATATTCAAAAGCAAAAATTCAAATATTTTAGACTTATCAGAAATTCCACATCAAGAACATGAAATCTCCTTGATAATATACAATATGAATGATTTGAATCAACATTTTATGCCTTTTAAAATAACTTTTACAAAATATTTTCAATGATGGAAACGACTTTCCATAATTGTTTAGTCGAACTGAGAGATAAGTTCAACTTAAGATCTTTGTGAAACATCCCCAAGGTTTGTTCCAATATTTTATACAAATACTTCTTTGTTGTGTTTTAAAAACATTTGAGAAAGAAGGTTGAAAATGAGATATTTCACAGGAGCACACTTATGAAGACGGTGAAAACATTTACACAAGAGTTGACATATTATATATACAAGTAACTTGGCAATATCCCAGGGAAAACCTGAATAAATTTTAAAATGGATGATACAACCTACAGTTAACGATTAAATTATTCATACCCAACTATTCATACCCTTTCGGCTTTGTGAATTTGATTTTTGTTTTTGTTTTTTCTGTAACTCAAGAATGAAAGGTTGTCTGGTTTGTTTAGGGCCTTTGTTAAATACCTTTAGATGTAAGCTTTAATAATTCACATTCTCAAGAAACATAGATTAGGACAAATTAATATTTCTTATACTTGAACAATTATAAAACTTTATAAGGGTATGACAAATTTAGTCATTAATTGTATATGATCATAAGATTTTCCAGCCAATGTCTTTACATCATTGAAAGTTGTGCTATAGATTCAGAAATATATTTTGTTCAAGTTCATGCATAAAATTTCCTGTTTCCAAGTTAATTGAGCCTTCCATGTATTTTTATTTAATTTTTGCGTTATCTCATTTTGATTTTGTTTGCAGATCATGATCAGGAGTATATTTCTGTTTCTGGATAGGACCTATGTACTACAGAATTCACTAGTATCTTCTCTATGGTAAGTTCATGTTTTGTTTTTATGCCTCCGCCACCGAAGGTGGTGCCGGAGGCATCATGTTTTCGGGTTGTCCGTCCGTACGTCCGTCCGTCCGTCCGTCCGTACGTCCGTCCGTCCGTCCGTACGTCCGTCCGTACGTCCGTCCCGTTTGACCGTTATCACAATATCTCAAGAACCATTTAAGATTTAAACTTAAGACTCGGGAATAGTATTTATCACCATAGGAAGACGATCTGATTAGATTTTGGAGTACGTAGGTCAAAGGTCACAGGTCACAGAGGTCAACTTATGAAATTCCTTGTATTGAGTTTGTTAGCGCGATATCTCAAGAACCATTTGAGATTTAAACTTCAAACTTAAGGATAGTATGTATCAACATAGGAAGACGATCTGATTAGATTTTGGAGCACGTATGTCAAAGGTCAAGGGTCACAGAGGTCAACTTATGAAATTCCATACATTGAGATTGTTATCATGATATCTCAAGAACCACTGGAGATTTAAACTTCAAACTTAGTGATAGTGTGTATCACTATAGGAAAACAATCTGATTAGATTTTGGAGCACGTATGTCAAAGGTCAAGGGTCACAGAGGTCAACTTATGAAATTCCATACATTGAGATTGTTATCATGATATCTCAAGAACCACTGGAGATTTAAACTTCAAACTTAGTGATAGTGTGTATCACTATAGGAAAACAATCTGATTAGATTTTGGAGCACGTAGGTCAAAGGTCAAGGGTCACAGAGGTCAACTTATGAAATTCCATACATTGAGATTGTTATCATGATATCTCAAGAACCACTGGAGATGTAAAAACTTCAAACTTAACGATAGTGTGTATCACCATAGGAAGACAATCTGATTAGATTTTGGAGCACGTAGGTCAAAGGTCAAAGGCCACAGCGCACATTATGAATGCAAAAACAGCTTGTGATCGCGTTATCTCAAGAACCGATTGATGGATTCATGCCAAAATTAGGTCATGTTTGTTACTTGCAGAGCCAATGAACTGAGTAGATTCTTGGTTCATAAGGTCAAAGGTCAAAGGTCATGGGCCCATTATGTATGCAAAAATAGCTTGTGAACGCATTCTCATTAGAACTGACAGATGGATTACTATTTAACTCAGAACATCTTGCAGAGCCAATGAACTGAGTAGATTTTATGGTCATGAGGTCAAAGATCAAAGGGTCATATATGTATATGAGAAATTGCTTGTAATCACAATATTCTGAGAACCTGTCAATGGATTACCATTGAATGTGAATTCAATTTTTTTTTTCTGTTTTGGTTTGTAAAATTGCTCTATAACGGAGGCATCATTTTCGACTGCGCGCAGTCGAATTCCATCTAGTTATTGCCTGTATTTTAGCAAGTCAGTATCCTTTTCTGGAAGTGTTTGGGTGGTTGAAATAACGTTAACAGATTTACAGACCAGGGACCCGTTTTACAAATGACAAAAATCAGTAACAAGTCTGCTGATAACCAATCAGAAACAAGGATTTCACTAGCTTATAACAAAAACTGTCATTTGTCACTGATGACAGTTTTGTGAAATGGGGCCCAGGGGTTGTATTCTAAGCATGATTTTATCTTATTTTTCATAAAATTATCAGTATTCTGAGACCACTTTTTATCTCAGATTGTATCTCTTCTCACATGCCTACCGATACTACATTTAGGACTATACTCATGATAATGCATGTCTTAAAGCTATCCTCCATCTTATTTTACGTGAGAGATAAAATAAAATTTAAAATGGGGTAAGGGCTATTTTATCTCTCCGACGCAGTATGAAGTATGCAGCTAGTTCTGTAATCGTAAAAGAAAACGGTAAGAATACATTTCTCAAGCAACTTTCTCACAGGGTTATTGAGATATATTTCCAAGATTTTTTTCTGACTAATATCATACTTGAAATGATGCTTTTAACAGTGTTCAAAAGCCTGAAACTTACTTAGTCATTGTATAAGTTATTGCATCACAAATTGGCGTGTCTTAGCGAGACAAAATGATTCTCAGAATACCGATTAAAAATATTTCAAGGGTATGTTATCTCACTGAGGGTTTTTGGAGGGTTTTTGGAGGGTTTTTGGCAAGTTCCGGGGAGATTTTTATATTCTTAGCAGAGATATGTTTAGTCCAACTTCTGACAGAAACTGGCTGAAATCAAAGGATTACACAATGTTTATCTTGTCTTAATGTATTTTGAAAAAAGATGTGAATCTAGACTAATGATTCGCATGGAATTCATTTCAGATCTTAAAGCTACAGTCCCATATACGTCCCGGACCGTCCCGGACCATCCCGGACCCCATCCGGGGTGATCCGGGATTCGGTCCGTGTTGACACCGTGTTGGCACCGGGGTGGTCCTGGATGGTCCTGGATGGTCCTGGGCGGTCCGGGAATCGACCCCGGATGTTTTTGACGGTCAAAAACTGCCGGGGTGGTCCGGGACGGTCCGGGACAATAGTTTGATCCGGGGTGATCCGTGTAGCCACCGTGCTGGGTCCGGGGTCATCCGTAGTGGCGCCGGGGCGGTCCGTGTTGATCCGTGGCAGTCCGGGAGTGAGTTATTGACCGCCCAGGACCATCCAGGACCATCCAGGACCATCCAGGACCATCCAGGACCACCCCGGTGCCAACACGGTGTCAACACGGACCGAATCCTGGATCACCCCGGATGGGGTCCGGGATGGTCCGGGACGGTCCGGGACGTATATGGGACTGTAGCTTTTAAAGCATCACACTTTTTTGAACAAAACATCCCGGACCATCCCGGATCACCCCAGACCATGGTCCGGGATGGTCCGGAGTGGTCCGTGCTCGTCCGTGCTGGTCCGGCTTTATATGGGACTGGGGCTTAACCAATTCATTTTTTCATCAAACTGACTTCTGCATTCATTGTTTACTTTGCAGGGACATGGGACTAGATCTCTTTCGCTCTCACATCATTAGCAACAGGACTGTACAGAATCGGACCGTAGAGGGCCTCTTGATGCTAATAGAGAGCGAGAGGACGGGGGATGTCGTCGACCATAGTCTTCTCAAAAGTCTTCTTCGAATGCTCTCAGATCTACAGGTAATCTAGTAGTAGTAGTGGTAGTGGTAGTGGTTGTAGTGGTGGTAGTGGTATTGGTGGTAGTGGTAGTGGTGATTATGGTGGTAGTGGTAGTTGCAGTGATGATTATGGTAGTGCTGGTGGTAATTGCGTGGTAGAGTGGCAGTGGTAGACCACCTGTTCAATCACAAGGCTTATATGCTGCAAGATCCACTGACATGAGTCTGTCAGTCTTCTGTTTGGAAATTTATTTATATTTTGAGTATTGCACAGGTATTCAAATGATTTTTTTGATCAGTACAATTTGAATGTTGGTCCTGAATTCCTGAGATGATTGTAAAGAAATGAGAACATTTTTCAGAAAATGAGTGAAAAGAAAATGCATTGCTTAGAGAGTTCTATAGATGCAGTGCTTGTTCCTCGAGGTCGAAATTAACTATAAGTTGGACTTAAATATTATGGAGAGCCATTTGTAGCCTTATTTTGAAATGTATTCAAAGGCAAAAATTCAAGTATTTTATACTTTTCATAAATTCCACATCAAGAACATGAAATCTGTCATGATAGTAGAAAATATGAATGATTTGAATCAACATTTTATGCCTTTTGAAATAAATTTTACAAAATATTTTCAAGGTTGCTAATGGCTTTCCATAATTGTTTGGTCCAACTGAGAGATAAGTTCAACTTAGGATCTTTGTGAAACACCCTCCCCCCCCCCCCCCCCCCCCGGAGTTTTATTACATTTGTGAGTTTGTATGTTTAATGTTTCAGATCTACGAAGAGGCATTTGAGAAGAGGTTCTTGGAGGCTACACAGATGCTTTATGGTGCAGAGGGACAGAGGCTTGTTCATGAAAGAGAGGTAAGAACCAGCAGAGGCTGAGGACAATCTCCCCCTTTAAAGATAAAGTTAAGTTCTGGTCATGCGCTTGCATTGTGAAAGAAACAGTGTGGAATCGATCAGAAAAGGTTGATCATCTAGCATATAAGTATATAGTATGTTATACTGCTGATACAAATCTAAACAAATAGTTGTAGAACATCTTCACAAATTGAATACATGTGTTATTTAGTTAACCTAAGTAAGAATAGATTCATTTATTTGGAATTCATTACAAATTATAGACTTTTAAAACTACAGTTTTGCCCTTATAATATTACCCAAGCAATACATGAAGCAAATCTTATTGTTTGCAAAGATCTCTGGGATTTACTGTAACAATGTCACAGAAAGCCAAGAAATTCTAGCAATTTCCTTTCAGGATGACTCAAGTCTTCCGTGCATTACAGGAAACAGCCTTGTTTCATTATTTGAACCTTTTTTTTCTTCTGAGCAGGGTTGTTAAAGGTTATAGGATTTTTTCATTTGCTCACCACCCTTAAAAATATTACCCCATTCTCAAACCACCCCCCCCCCCCAAGAATAAATAAATAAATAAATAAATAAAAATAAATAAAAATAGAGTAGAAATAAAATAAAAAGAGAGTGAAAAAAAGAAAGGAAGACCAAAAAAAAGGAGGAGATAGAACAAGGAAGAAAACAAATACCAACTAATCAACCACTGACATCATTATTTTATTGTTGTTCACATACAGGTACCCGAGTACCTTACTCACGTCGACAAACGTCTAGAGGAGGAATCGCAGAGAATTCTACATTACTTAGACCACACTACCCGAAAACCTCTAATCGCCTGCGTAGAGAAACAACTGCTGGAAGACCACATTGGAACTATTCTGCAGAAAGGTAAGACTTCATTTGATCCCCTCTCAGACATAGCATGGTAAATCACTTTTCAAAAATTGTAATAGACACCTATTTGGTGTGAATGAATTACTAGAAGCAATGTTGTAAGTCTTGCGGAAGAAGTGCAAACAATCCTACACTACCTAAACCACACTTACCGGAAATCTTGAATGGCCTGCTTAGAGAAACAACTGCTAGAAGACCACATTGGAACTATCCTTTAGAAAGGTTCAAGTTTACTTAAGCCTCATTGAGACCTGATGATGTAGTAAACCACTTTTTAGAAAAATTAGACAGTCAATTTTTAAATTTTAAATGAATCACAAATAGAAATATAGCGGGTTGGGATGTAGGGGGTGGGGGTGGGGTAAAAATACAAAGCTCCACTCAATAAACTTCCCTGTATCCTGTCTGATCCAATTACCATTAGGCACAGGAATGTGAAGCATACAGGTATCAGTTTCATGCTTGTGTCGTTGTATTTTGCAGCAGCATTAAGTTCAAACTGTTTCAAAATGCCTATCGTCTGAATGAGTCTTTATAGATAAATAAACTGTAGTCAAATATACATTGAAAGACCCACACCCATTTACTCCCCCCCCCCCCCCCCCCTTTACCCTTTTTTGTTGTTGTTGAAAGAACCATTGGTCATTTCAATAATTTCCACATTTGGATGAAGTAGATTAATAAATGAGATGTCCATACATTGCATTAATCACCATATTTCACAATCTGGAATATTAAAAAAAAGAGCATGTGGATTAGATCTGATTTGGTCTTGGTGATTGTTTTTTCAGGTTTGGACAGGCTACTAGAGGCCAATCGGGTGGATGACCTTACGCTACTCTACAGACTGCTGCAGAGAACAAAGAACGGCCTCCATGATTTATGTCAGTACTTCAGTGCTTTTATCAAGGTAAGCCCACCCATTGCAATGATATGATACTCTGTAGGCATCTTCAAGCAAAGCGTTAGATGAGTCCAAAAACGAAATTTCAAAGACCTTTTTCTCAACGTTTTTTACAACACCATACATGCCAACTGTTCAGATTAAAGAGGAACATTCCTCTTTTTGGGAGAAGATAATTATCATTTTAATGCAGGCCTTCCTCTTCCTGTACAAATTTGTCTGTAGTATTGAATAGGAGAGTTAGGATTGTTCCTCTTTTTTTTGAAAATAGCATAATTTGTACAGATTTCTGATTTTCAAATGTTGGCATGTATGCAACACTACAGTCTATTGGGAAAAATGAATATGGTAAAACCAGTTACTTAAAGAATTTTACTTTTTTGAGGCACTTCACGATCGTTTTGAAATGCAATTTTTTTTAGGGCTTCAATATTACACCCCATCACAGACACTGATAACATGTATGGCCATGCATCTCAGATTTGTGAAACTGGAAACATTGTTAACCGATGCCTTTGATTCTCCACACAAAAAAAAGAAGATTTAATCAAAGTTTACTTTTTGTGAAATCAAAACCTCGTGACACAAAATTGTTCCTATTTACGGCATAATGAACCATTCAGAATAACTTCCACTGATACCACTTCACAAGGGGTCAACGCACTTCTTATCCTCTGCAAGTGATACTGTGGTATCAAGTATGTGCATCTTGTTAAAGTTGTTCCTCTTGTTTTCTATTCCCTCCTCCAACCTTCGGTTATTACAGAAAACAGGCACTACTATAGTTATAGACTCAGAGAAGGACAAAACTATGGTCCAGGAACTCCTAGACTTCAAGGAGAAGCTGGACAACATCCTCCAGACCTGCTTCGCCAAGAATGAGAAGTTCTCTGTCTCTCTGAAAGATTCTTTTGAGAATTTCATCAACAAAAGGCTCAACAAACCAGCAGAACTTGTTGGTAAGTATCCTCACACCAACTGATGGTTAGAGGTTGTAAATTTCTTGATTTGATTGATTTGATTTGATTTATTGGTTTCTGCATCTTTTCTCTTTTTTTCATCATACATTTTCATGAACATAATATGGTTTGATACAATATTTTAAGTGTATATAATTTTATACAGATAATAAACGAAATTAAACAAAAATATAGAGTGCATTATTAACATACATTAGATGCAGGAGGGCTACAGAAATAAGCAAAGTAGCTTGACGTGCCCGCAGCCCTCAACTTGGATACAACAATAAATCAAGAAACAAAATATCCATCAAAACCTATCTGTAAAAAAATGTTCATCTACAAGATGCTTTTGAAGAACCTTATCAATGAAAGGCTCAACAAACTAGCAGAGCTTGTTGTTATCTATCCTCACACTGACCAATGATTTGAGTTGATACAATTTTTGGGCTTTGGCAAAATATCCACCCAGATATCCATCTAGATTCTAAATATTATGAATGAGAAGTAGCAAGTGTCAGTGCATCACCTGCCTTTGTGCCTGCTTTTTGTTGCATGCATGTTGCCTAGGATCGCTGCTTTCCACCCATCAACAAAACTCTTGTACAGGACATTTTTATTTACATCTGCTCTTTTTTAGAGATTCAGGGGGGGGGGGGCACAATGCCATCAGCCCCAATTAATCTTTCCACTGATGTACTATGACCTTCTTTTCCCCCCTTTGAGGCAGGAGAATCATAAACTTAAACTGTTATATTATCAATCAATAAATAAATGAATGCTGTTGTCTCTGATTGCCCCGGAATCCAATAAAACCAAACACTACCTGAAAAAAAGGGTAAGAAAGAGAGGACAAAGGACTGAAAAAAGGGACTGAACTGAATGTGCTGTTTGCCGACTGTTTTACTATAGCCTTATCTCCTTTCTTTTCATTTCACCCATATAGCAAAGTATGTTGACAACAAGTTGAGAGCTGGTAACAAGGAAGCTACGGAGGAAGAGCTTGAGAGACTCCTGGACAAGATCATGGTTCTATTCAGGTTCATCCACGGTGAGTCAGCAAGAATCTTCATAAAACCCTACTTATAGCTACTTGCGCCCTCTATATAGCAAACAATGCCTAATCGGTGCCTGTTGGTCCCCCATGATCCCCTTTATCGTATGTTAATTGAGAGCTGATTTGATGAGATAACCACCTGTCAGTGACCACAGCAGGGAGGTTATCCCTCCTAGCCAAACTAGTGCAAAGGGGCTTTAACCTGTTGACTTTGGAATCCTCACACTCTCATAGACTTAAACACATGTACAACTTGATTCCTCTAGTCAATAGGATAACATCCCTATGGACTGATTACCACCTGTCAGTGTCCTTGCAGGGAGGTCTAATCCCCCTGGTCAAACTAGTACAGACGGGCTTTAAAGCCAATATTGAGTACTCACAGTGAAGTTTCATTTTAAGAACATGCATTTTAAAAAATCCTTGAGAATTGTTACCATGTTATAATCTTTGTTGTGGTATAGATAAGGCCAGCCATATGTAAACAAAATGTTGAAAAATTGGCAAAAACCATTAACCCCAAATACTATGGACATGGATGTGAAATCATGGAACAATGCTTCAGACAAACAGTGTGCATTGCCTGGTCATAGTCCAGACGCATCAAGGAATGCTTTGTTTATTTTGCTTTATTTCTTGGTAGCTGCACAGTTTATTTCAGATATATTTTTCAAGGGCTATTTATTTATATGTATATGTATATTAGATATGTGGACAGGGTGATAATTGTTTTTGGTTCTAATTTAGTTTTAAATGTTATTGGAGCTCAATATTATTTTGATACCTTTCTAGTGGTCAAGACTTGCTGCTTGAATATCAGTGGCAGTAAGTTGGAAAACAGAAAGGAAATTAAACAAAGCAGAGATCAGGTGTTAAGTGTAGGTTTATTTAATGAACCATCAGTTCCTGATCTTCTTGCAAACACTCACACATGTTTCATTGTTGATTGATACGGTACTAGTGATTCTTTCATGATTTGTAAATGAGAGCAGCTTTCACGACAATAACATATCTTGAATTGCAAAAATTAAGTGCTGCGTCCTTTATGAGTAAATTATTCCACTGCATGAAGATTTAATGAATATTAACCACTCTAATCATGAAATTCATGAACATGTTTTGCACATGCACTGGTTTTACAGTAATTCCATTGACCAAGTTTTGTTTCATATAAAAGGTAATGGCTACAATCTATCGTGGGATCTGGGCCCTGTTTCATAAAACTTGTTATCAATAACAAATGTAAAATTTCCTTGACAAATTTTCCCTCGGCCAATCAAATGTCACGGTTACAGTAGCTTATAACAGTTGTTACAGCTTGTTATTGATAACTATTTTTTATGAAACAGGGCCCAGGGATTGATTCTAGGGGGTGTTTCACAAAGATCCTAAGTTGAACTTATCTCTAAGTTTGACTTAACAATTATGGAAAGCCGTTAGCATCTTTGAAAACATTTTGTAAAAGTTATTTAAAAGGCATAAAATGTTGATTCAAATCATTCATACTTTCTATTATCAAGGAGATTTCATGTTCTTGATGTTGGATATATGAAAAGTCTAAAACATTCGAATTTTTGCTTTTGAATATATTTTATTTTAAGGCTACAAATGGCTCTCCATAAATGTTAAGTCCAACTTAGAGTGAAGTTCAACTTAGGATCTTTGTGAAACACCCCTCTGGTCATGAAGTGCATGCTTAGAGAATTTCCAGTCGTGAACATGATCATAACTTGTTTAAATGGTTGTTCTGTATGTAACAGGGAAGGATGTATTTGAAGCATTCTACAAGAAGGACTTGGCTAAGAGACTACTAGTTGGCAAGAGTGCTTCAGTGGATGCAGAGAAGTCCATGCTCTCCAAGCTCAAGCAAGGTAATCAAGCTTTCCCTTTTAAACAAAAGAAAAGGTGCAGTGGCAAAATAGGATACCACAATAATGCATCTTTCATTTCTCTATTGTATATCAGAAAGATAAGTACATACGCCAAGGGGCTACGAAACGAATACGAAAGTTAATGTTGCTTGCTTAGTATTGTGAGCATCAGTAAAATGGCGACTGGCTGGAATGCTCCCCAGGGAGTGGAGAATGTGCATACATTGTTTGCAGGCAAGCCTGAATCCGATGACCATGGTAGTAATATATCTGTAAAGCACTTTGAGACATCATCAATGTATTTAGCGCTAGAAAAACACTGAATATAATTATTATTATTGGAATGGCTATCGCTTGTCATATTATTTTTTGTTATTATTCTGTACTAAACTTTTATATTAATTTGTTTTCTTCAGAATGTGGTGGTGCCTTCACATCCAAGCTAGAAGGAATGTTCAAAGACATGGAACTCTCCAAAGACATCATGTTCGCATTCAAACAGGTATGTCTCATTCTCAGTCTGTCTGTCTGTCTGTCTCTATCCGTCTCTTTGTCTCTCTCATTTCAAACACATGGAGCTATCCAAACACATCATGGTAGCTTTCAAACAGGTCGGTCTTTACAAAAATGAAAAAGCAGTTTCACCGACTTGATAGGACATTTTATCACATTATATGTGTTATGGTATTTATTTATTTATTTATTTATTTGAATGAATATGTTTGTACAGGATAACATGATCAGTTGTAAAAAGTCCTGCACTGCATTTCGTCCCTGGTATTTAAGAACATGACAATCATTCAAAAAGTAAACAAGAGAGTGGCCTTATATGTTACTGAACTCAAATAAAGATGATTTCACTTTGGCGTAAGCCATGCATTGTATTTGGTATCACACTCAGATTTCATAAATTATTTGATAAATTAAGCAGGATTATATTTGCTAGTTATTCACATCTTAGTGTAAAAGATGGGTATACTTTAAAGCCCGTCCGTACAAGTTTAGCCAGGGGGATTAGACCTCCCCGCAAGGTCACTGACAGGTGGTTGTCTCATCAAATCAGCTCTCAATTAACATAAGAAAAAGAGGCTCACGGGGGACCAACAGGCACTGATTAGGTATTGTTTGCTATATAGAGGGCGCAAGTAGCTATAAGTAGTGGAGTGGGGCTTTAACATCTTTCATGCATGGCTCAGTAAACTGCCATGAAAACGTTTAGTTTGATCCCATCCATGCATTATTTACGCCCAACATAGTTCTTATTTTGCAACCATATTACTTTTTAGGCAGCTTACCTCTTATGTGTGAATGTGGCATTTGATTATGAAATTGACATGTTCATCTTTGCCTGTTCTGTCCCTTGCAGCATATGCAACATCAGTGTCATGCAACTGTAATGGATCTCAGTGTGAACATTCTAACCATGGGATACTGGCCAACGTATAAACCACTAGAGATACATCTACCATCAGAGGTAAGCAAGTGCTTTTATCACAGTTTTTTTCTATGTCACAGTTAATTGAATTCACGTATCTGTATACATTTTATTTGTTTTGATGTAAACATTATTCATTTTTGCTAGCAATATTTATATCTTGTATTTTGTTTAAATTTTTTTTTTTCTCATTTTTTTGTTCAACTGCTTTGATGTTTTGATGTAAACATTTATTCATTTTTATATATTTTTTCTCACTTGCTATGTTTTCTTTATATATGTTTTTTAATGTGTTTTATATGATTGTATGTTTGATGTAAACTTGCATTTTTAATCTTTGGACTTTTTGACAAGTCTTGAATAAAACCTCATTTGAATTGAATTGAATTGCTGTACAGACAAACCTGTATAGAAAGTCCAACCTAAGAAGACACAAATGGCAGTCTTTGTAGGCAGATGGTCGTTATACACAGGAGGTGTAATGGCTCAGTGGTCTCATAACTGGGAGGTCCTGGGTTCAAAACCAAGTCGGTGCGCTAGTGCCCTTTGGTTAAGGCATTAATCCTCTTTCCTTCAGTTGCTTGCCTACAAGCATACACATTTTTATGCCTTCGTTACAAAGAAGCTGGAGGCATTATGTTTTTGGGTTGTCCGTCCGTCCTTACGTCTCGTTCTCGTGATCGCATTATATCAGGAACCAAACTTGGGTCATGTATGTATCTTGCAGAGCCAAGGAAGTGATTAGATTTTGGGGTCACGAGGTCAAATGTCAAAAGTCACAGGGCTCATTATGTATGCAAAAAAAGCTCGTGATCACATTATCTCAAAAACCCATTGATGGATTCCCTCCAAACTTGGGTTATGTATGTATCTTGCAGAGCCATTAAACTGATTAGATTTTGGGGTCACAAGGTCAAATGTTGAAGGATATGGCAGAGCTGCCAAGTAGTACAGATTGGCTGTATTCTGTACAGAAATCAACTTAAAATACGGACGTACGTTTTTTCATGTTAAATAAGGAAGATTTTTTTTTTTTAATTTTTTTTTTTTGCTGGCTCTGTCGGCAGCAAGCCAGGTTCGTGTTAAAAAAAAAAAAAACGTGGGAAGGACTTTCAGTTAACCTCGAGGTGCAGTTGAATGTGTAAGATCATTAATGTAAAATAAAAAAAACAGTAAAGGACCTAGGATATAACCTTTTGGTACGCCATGTGTAATAGAAGAAAAATTTGAGGAATTATTATTTTAAACTTCATTGAGATCTATCAGAAAGATTACTTTCAAACCAAGATGACAGACAAATTTGAGTGTTCTAGTTTCCGAGTGGTGAGTCAACACACCGATTACTGAGCTTGAAGACATTGCCAGGCATAGCGCCAAGTGGAGGGGCATAAATGGAAACTTTTTTTTTAACCTGTGTATAATACGCACCCCCGACTTTGAATTTTTTCGGCGGCAAAAAAAGTGCGTCTTATACACAGAGATTAACGGTACATGTGGGACGAAAATGTAATAAGTGATCGAACATGGCCAATATGCATGCATATTTTTTCCACGCGGAAAAAATACTGATTCTTTGGTCAAAATACTGATTTTGAGGGGATAAGAAAACTAAAAATGCAAAATACAACTTAGCAGCTCTGATATGGGGCTCATTACGTATGCTAAATTAGCTTGTGAACGTATAATCAACAGAACTGACGGATGGATTACTATCAAACTCAAAACATGTATCTTGCAGAGCCAATGAAGTGATTAGATTTTAGGTTCATGAGGTCAAAGATCGAAGGGTCAAACATGTATATGAAAAATAGCTTGTAATAACATCATTCCCACACTGCTAAGTTCAGTGATGGAAGAGAGTCATCCTCTCCCTGTCTGTCATCCTGTAAGTTTCTGTCTTTCTCTCTCTAGATTCATGAGATAATAGGATTTATTCCCACACTGCTAAGTTCAGTGATGGAAGAAAGTCATCCGTTCCCTGTCTGTTACCCTGTAAGTTCTCTCTCTCTCTAGATTCATTAGATCATAGGATGCATTCCCACACTGCTAAGTTCAGTGATGGAAGAAAGTCATCCGTTCCCTGTCTGTTAACCTGTAAGTTCTCTCTCTCTGTCTAGATTCATTAAATCATAGGATGCATTCCCACACTGCTATGTTCAGTGATGGAAGAAAGTCATCCGCTCCCTGTCTGTTACCCTGTAAGTTTCTCTCTCACTAGATTCATAAGATCATAGGATGCATTCCCACATTGCTAAGTTCAGTGATTGAAGAGAATAGTCCGCTCCCTGTCTGTCATCCTGTAAGTTCTGTCTCTCCCTCTATTTTTTTTTTTTTTTTTGTTGGCTGAAGCCAAACTAAGCTTTTATAACGTGCCGCGATTTGAGTGTTCACGTACTGCGTGCGTTGAACGGCTGCATCATCGAGCAGCGAAATTTGTATCTGCTTTTTTGTATAGATTTATGGCGTATTGCCAGTCACACTGCTGCTGCATGTGTGAACGCGTGTTTAAGGTACAGATTTCTTATTTTCAAAGGTATACCATGCTAGAAATTCCTAATTCTTATTTTCAAATGTTGGCAGGTACATATATGCTGTAGGTACAGCACCGGTCAACACTGTTGTAAAATCTTTCTTTTTATGCCTCCGTTACGAAGTAGCCGGAGGCATTATGTTTTCGGGTTGTCCGTCCGTCCGTACGTCCGTACGTACGTCTGTACGTACGTACGTCCCGTTCTCGTGATCGCGTTATCTGAAGAACTGGTTGATGGATTCCTGCCAAACTTTGGTCATGTATGTATCTTGTAAAGCCGATGAACTGATTAGATTTTGGGGTTACGAGGTCAAAGGTCAAAGGTCACAGGGCTCATTATGTATGCAAAACAAGCTCGTGATCGCGTTATCTGAAGAACTGGTTGATGGATTCCTGCCAAACTTTGGTCATGTATGTATCTTGTAGAGCTGATGAACTGATTAGATTTTGGGGTTACGAGGTCAAAGGTCGAAGGTCACAGGGCTCATTATGTATGCAAAACGAGCTCGTGATCGCGTTATCTGAAGAACTGGTTGATGGATTCCTGCCAAACTTTGGTCATGTACATGTATGTATCTTGTAGAGCCGATGAACTGATTAGATTTTGGGGTCACGAGGTCAAAGGTCAAAGGTCACAGGGCTCATGTATGCAAAACGAGCTCGTGATCGCGTTATCTGAAGAACCGATTGATGGATTGCTGCCAAACTTAGGTCATGTATGTTACTTGCAAAGCCGAAAAACTGATTAGATTTTGAGGTCACGAGGTCAAAGGTCAAAGGCCACAGGGCTTATTATGTATGCAAAACGAGCTTGTGATCGCGTTATCTGAAGAACCGATTGATGGATTGCTGCCAAACTTAGGTCATGTATGTTACTTGCAGAGCCGATGAACTGATTAGATGTAGGGGTCACAAGGTCAAAGGTCAAAGGCCACAGGGCACATTATGTATGCAAAAACAGCTCGTGATCGCGTTATCTCAAGAACCGATTGATGGATTCCTGCCAACTTAGGTCATGTATGTTTCTTGCAGAGCCAATGAACTGAGTAGATTCTTGGTTCATAAGGTCAAAGGTCATGGGCTCATTATGTATGCAAAAATAGCTTGTAATCACAATATTCTGAGAACCTGTTAATGGATTACAATTGAACTTGAATTCGAAAAATTTCTTCTGTTTTGGTTTGTAAAATTGCTCTATGACGGAGGCATCATTTTCGACTGCGCGCAGTCAAAGTTCCATCTAGTTTTTTATGCCTCCGCCACCGAAGGTGGTGCCGGAGGCATCATGTTTTCGGGTTGTCCGTCCGTCCGTCCCGTTTGACCGTTATCACAATATCTCAAGAACCATTTAAGATTTAAACTTAAGACTCGGGAATAGTATTTATCACCATAGGAAGACGATCTGATTAGATTTTGGAGTACGTAGGTCAAAGGTCACAGGTCACAGAGGTCAACTTATGAAATTCCTTGTATTGAGTTTGTTAGCGCGATATTTCAAGAACCATTTGAGATTTAAACTTCAAACTTAAGGATAGTATGTATCACCATAGGAAGACGATCTGATTAGATTTTGGAGCACGTAGGTCAAAGGTCAAGGGTCATAGAGGTCAACTTATGAAATTCCATACATTGAGATTGTTATCATAATATCTCAAGAACCACTGGAGATTTAAACTTCAAACTTAATGATAGTGTGTATCACCATAGGAAGACAATCTGATTAGATTTTGGAGCACGTAGGTCAAAGGTCAAGGGTCACAGAGGTCAACTTATGAAATTCCATACATTGAGATTGTTATCATGATATCTCAAGAACCACTGGAGATTTAAACTCCAAACTTGTTTAAATTGCTCTATGGCGGAGGCATCATTTTCGACTGCGCGCAGTCAAAATTCCATCTAGTTTTTTTTTACATCCATACTGTTAATGTAGTATTTATACCTCAGGCCTGATAAAAACCCGATTTAAATTGGTTTCCTGATTTTTTTTATTTTTCCCAGATTTTTTCCGGATTTAATAAAAAAAAAAAAAATCCAGATTTTTTTTTTTTTTTTTTTTTTTTTACCAGATTTTTTTTCCTTCCCTATTTTATCCTGATTTTTCCGATTTCCTCCTTATTTTCTCTATTCTTCCCTATTTTTCCCCAATTTTCTTACTTGAAAGGGGGGAATGTTGTTAGATGCCATTTTTTCCCCGCGAATCCTCTTCTTTTTTTTTTACTCAGGGGGGCGTGGTTGAGGGGAAAACAAAAAACCTATTTTTTTTTTAGTGCTCACTATCACCCCTGATACCTGCCAACCCTTCTGAATATTCCGGAATATTTTGATTTGGGGGATTTTTTAGGACATGCAATTTGTTGTGTTAAAGCCAAATTAAGCTTGTTTTAGCATGTGCCGCGATTTGAGAGTTCACATATTGGGTGCGTTGATGGCTGCATGATCGAGGAGCGAAGTTTTATTCGCTTTTTGGAACAGACTTTCCGTGTATTGGCAGTTTCACTGCCGCTGCAAGTGCGATTTCCTATTTTCAAAGGCATACCGTGCTGAAAACTCCTGATTCTTATTTTCAAATGTTGGCCGGTATGAGGGCTCGTACGGGTCCTGGAAATTCATGGAAAATCAATGTTTTTATGCCTCCGTTACGAAGTAGCCGGAGGCATTATATTTTCGGGTTGTCTGTCCGTCCATCCGTACGTCCCATTCTCGTGATCGCGTTATCTCCAGAACCGATGGATGGATACCTGCCAGACTTAAACCATGTATGTATCTGGCAGAGCTAATGAACTGATTAGATTTTGTGGTCACGGGGTAAAAGGTCAAAGGTCACATGGCTCATTATGTATGCAAAAATAGCTTGTGATTATGTTATATCAAGAACCAATTGATGGATTCCTGCCAAACTTAGGTCATGTATATATATATAGCAGAGCTAATGAACTGATTCGATTATGGGTTCACAAGGTCAAAGGTCACAGGGCTCATTATGTATGCAAAAATAGCTTATGATCACATTATCATTAGAACCGATGGATTTTTTTTTTTTTATTATTTATTTTATTGATTTTTTTATCTCCTCTCTTTGGGCTGATATTTCTCAGTTTTGAATGCTTTAATTATTTTTATTTTTTCTAAAAATTGGGGGGAAAAAAAATTTAAAAAACATCCACCAATCGACCCATATGGAAAAGTCATTATCTATTTCCCTCACCAGAAGACTCTTGAGAGACTAGGGGGTATTTCTTGATGGGTCCAAAGGGTTTGCTGTGTGCAGACTTGTACAATTATGCCGACTGCACATGAAAACTGACTACCATCTCCCTTTAATCACTACCCTTTTCTTTTGTGCTATTCCAGATGGTCAATCTTCAAGAGCAGTTCAAACGGTTTTACCTTGATAAGCACAGTGGTCGCAAACTACAATGGCAGCCAAGCCTAGGTCACTGCCTCGTCAAGGGTCAGTTCAGAGAAGAGGTGAGAGTTTTGTCACCTAACTTTGTTTCAGAAGCTATCAATTCTACCAAGTTCAATCAACAAAATACTTTTACAAGATTAAGGTGTCTTTATTATTTTTAGCTCCAATCATCAAATGCTTTCTATCTTATTGTAATTTTACATGTAAAATAGATTTGAATGTGATATTTTGTATTTATTATTTATCTGTGGATCTCATAAGCAAAATTTATTTACATCTTTTACCTTTTCTTACATGGTTTGATAATCAAAGAATCATGGATGAAGCCAACTGGAAAATGCCTGTTTTGATTGGTCAATATACCCAAAGTTGGCGTATTAGCATGCTCATGTGTACCTATGAATAATTCATGCAGAGCAGTAAAAGCCAGAATCCAAAAGGCCTCATGGCTAACGCCACTCTATCGCACATTCACCCGGGTCTCTTGGTCTTTGTCGCCGATTAGACTTGTTTCAGCCGCTGATTGGAAAATAGCTCAAGTCACGAGGCCTTGTTAAAAGGCCAGGGTATCACAAGCAATGGCTGCAATTGACTTCCTGCTCTAGCACTAAATTGCTCTTGCACACATGAAATTGACCAGCCATGTCGACAAAGAAAATTAATGTGAGGACGGCACTACCAAAAGTATTATTTCCCTTTGATATTGGATGCTAGGTGTGCCTTCCAGAGTCAAATTCTCACTACACCATTGTGTTCTGTATTGTCTGTCTATGACTATCTTTAATATTCTCTGTCTTGTATTGTGTCTCATGTAAAGGAAAAAAGAAGACTTACTCTGTAAATATTATCTACTATGCTTACAGGGCTCTTCGGTAAAGGAGCTTCAGGTGTCACTCTACCAAACACTAGTCCTGCTCCTCTTCAACGAGGGGGATAACTACTCACTAGAAGAGATCGCACAGGCTACCAACATCGGTAATACTAGGGTCAAAGAGGGGTCATGCAGGGGTCAAGAGGGGTCAAAGGGAGGTGAAAAAAGAGGGGTCAATGTTATAATTGATCCAAAACATTTTTTTAAAGAGTTGATTCTAGCTGGCGGTGGTGTTTGGAATTAATGGTCAGTGGAGGAAGTTCAAAAAGCTATGAAGAATGAAGGTAGGTTATATAGGGGTCAAAGAGGGGTCAATGTTAGAGGTTTGCATGATCCAAAACATGAAGGAAAAAAAGTTGATTCTAGTCAAAATTGGTATTTTAAATTAATTTTGATTGATAAAATCACTGATTGTTTCGTGATATAAGAGAAGAGGAGATAAGGCACGCTACCAACTCATGTAATGCAATTAGAAAGGGGTCAATTTTAGAATTCTATCTGCTTCAAAGTATGGAAAACAGTAGATTCTAGTTGAACTTGGTAATTGAAATCATTGTCAATTAATAAAATCACTGAATATTTTGTGATTAAAGAAAAGAAATCAGTCAAGGAGATAAGGGATGCTATCAACTAAAGCAAAGTAAAGCAGGAGTTACAGAGGGGTCATTTTAAGAATTATATGTCCTCAAAGTATGGAAAATTGTTGTATATACGCAGAGATACAATAAGGTAAACTCAATGTTGAAGCCAATTGGTAATTTGACTTGTGATTTGAAGAAAAAAGAATCACTGATTTTGATTGATGTGTTTTATTAATGTGATGTAAATTTTGTTGCAATGTACAGAGGACAGTGAACTAAGGAGAACTCTTCAGTCGCTAGCCTGTGGCAAGGCGAGAGTCATTGTTAAACTACCAAAGGTATGCCATTCCTCTTTGTCTCTCTCTGTTTCTCTCTGTCTCTCTCCCTCTCTCTGTTTGTCTCTCTCTCTCTCTCTCTGCCTCTCTCTCTGTGCCCCTCTCTCTCCCTCTATGTCTCTCCCCCTCTATCTCTCCCTTTCTCTCTCTCTCTTTCTCTCTCTCTCTTTTTATCAGCCTGTCTGTTACTCTGACTGACTCTATTTCTCTTTCTTTTCCCCATCACTTGACAACCTTTACTTAACCATCTGTTTTTTCTCTCTCTCTCCTTTTTTTTACTCTCCATTTTTGTCCTTAAAACTATTTATTGTGTTGCTGTCGGTTGTTTTAACATAGATTATGTCTATTCCTTACAGGGTCGAGAGATTGAGGATGGTGACAAGTTCCTCTTTGCCAATGAATTCAAGCACAAACTCTTCAGGATCAAGATCAACCAAGTCCAGATGAAAGAAACGGTCAGCATTAATAAAACTGAAAAGAAAGAATTGGGAAATGTTAAATTTAAAAGAATAATAAGAATTATAACCAACACAAAAAAGCGAACATTGGCATTGGCCGGAATAAAACGTACAACGCGCTATCTCGTTTTATCAACGGCTGGTTCAAAATTATTGAATATTCGTTGGGCCCCACAAATAATGGAAATGGTGATTTTTTTTTTGTATTTTAGCCGTCTCTGCACCAATTTTGATCTAACCAAGATGATTTTGTCATATAGAGTGTATGCTCTTTCAAATTTGACACTTTGATGAAAAAAATGTGTAATTTTTGTATGAAATGTTACTTATTATATTCCTTCTACTGTACTTACCCTCTAACATGCGAAAAATCCTGAGAAAAATCCTCAAACCACAAAGATATTTTTTTTTTTTTATGAAAGTGTTACTGGTCAACACCCTCTTACAGTGATTAACAGTAAATTCTCCCAACCATTTTTGAATTTTCCCAACCGTTTTTCCTTGAAAATAAGTCATAAAACAGGCTATAAAAAATCTGTCAACACTTAAAATGTCTGGAATGGTATATGGAGTCAATTCAATGCTTTTTGACAATTTATATTCACCTAAAATGTAAATAAATTGTAATAATATAGTTGGGAGAATTAAGGAATCGATCAGATCAGTTTTTCCCAATTTTTATCCTTAATAATGGTCCGTTTTCACTCAAACTTTCAGATTATCTTTAAACGTACATCTAGCATTGAAGTCACTACCTTAGCACCATTTTCTCTCATCTGAACAATGTTACTAAGTCCCTTTAACTAGACATCAATGTCTTTCTGTCTGTCATACAGGTGGAGGAGCAGGTGACCACCCAGGAGAGGGTGTTCCAGGATCGGCAGTACCAGATTGATGCAGCTATCGTCAGGATTATGAAGATGCGCAAGTCACTAAGTCATAATCTACTAGTCTCTGAACTCTATAACCAGCTGAGGTTTCCAGTTAAGGTAATCCAAATTTCAAAGGTCAAAGTTGAAAGGTTGAATAAAAGTTGCTTAGTCATAATCTACTAGTCTCTGAACTCTATAACCAGCTGAGGTTTCCAGTTAAGGTAATCCAGATTTCAAAGGTCAAAGTTAAAAGGTCAAATAAAAGTTGCTTAATCATAATCTACTAGTCTCTGAACTCTATAACCAGCTGAGGTTTCCAGTTAAGGTAATCCAAATTTCAAAGGTCAAAGTTAAAAGGTCAAATAAAAGTTGCTTAGTCATAATCTACTAGTCTAAGAAATCTATAACCAGCTGAGGTTTCCAGTTAAGGTAATCCAAATTTCAAAGGTCAAAGTTAAAAGGTCAAATAAAAGTTGCTTAGTCATAATCTACTAGTCTCTGAACTCTATAACCAGCTGAGGTTTCCAGTTAAGGTAATCCAAATTTCAAAGGTCAAAGTTAAATGGTCAAATAACAGTTGAAAAGGTATAACCACAAAAAGTCAAACATCCTTGTCTCTGAAATGTACAAGTAGCTGTGGTTTGCAATGGAGCTAATCCTATATTATAACTATAGGGGAACAGTTCACAGATAAAAACCAGCTGAGGATACTAGTTAAAGATAAACTTGAGTTCTGGTAATGCGATTGCATTGTGAAAGAAAAGGTGTGGAATGGATCAGAAAAGTTGATCATGTAGCATGTAAGTAATGGTGTGTAATGCAAGGTTCTGGAGTCATCAAAATCATCATAAATTTGGCAGAGTCTTTGTAAAGTAACAATCACTTACACAGAAAGATGTATATGGGACAACACACATGGTGTCGGGGTAGTACTACCCTGATTTCCTTATCTTTCTATGCTCATTACTCAGCCAGTATACATTTTCTTCCAAAATTGTTTGGCACATGACATTTATTTGTAATCTTGAACATTCAGTGTAAGTTTCGTTAGATTCTGTCGGAATTCATTTTCTTTTTTTACCAGAACTCAAGTTTATCTTTATGGTAATGTACTGTGTTATCTTTAGGATTTTGCTTGTCTTTTTTTTAGGGGGGGGGGGGGAGAGGGAGATGGGAGAGATGGAGTGGTATGAGGGTTAGGGAGGAAGTGGATGAGAGGTACAGATAGAGGTAGTTGCACTGACAAGGTTTTAGGGCTGTGTTTGGATTACTTCTAGGGTGGGATTATTATTATTATTATTATTATTATTATTATTACTTATACCGCGCTTTTCCCATAAGGCCCAAAGCGCTTACAGTGAATGAAAATAAAAATTACATAAATACATATAATTAGAAGAAAAAAAAAACAGTCTTACAACTACAAATTGCAAAAAAGATGTGTTTTTAAGGCCTTTCTGAAGGTACAGTACACGCCGAAAAACTCTGCAACACGATTACACGATTTATTTTTAGGATTACACGGTTTACACGATTCACCTGAATCGTGTAACTGTGTAATCGTGTAAATTTACACGATTGAAGAATGTCGCTCTGAATCGTGTAATCGTGTAAATAGTTAAGTGCATTGGTCGGATGATTCGACCAGATGTAACAATCGTGTAACTGTGTAATCGTGTAAATTTACATGATTGAAGAATGTTGCTCTGAATCGTGTAATCGTGTAAATAGTTATTAGGGTTATAAGAGCATTGGTAGAACGATGCGACAAGCTGCAACAATAGTTAAATCGTATCCTGCTTACACCAATTGCTTTATACACAACTTACCTTCAGTGTACATCAGTTAATTACTGTACTTTATATTCGTGTATAAACCTCAGCACTTTCCACTAACATGTATCGTATACTAATCCGTGAGACAAGGTAGGAAAACGTCAGAAACAGGAAGACATGATAGATGAAATAGAAGGAAAAAAGATAGCTACGAGGAGAAGGGAACATATAAAAGGAAAATGAGGGTTGAAAGGCACGATTAAGATAAACAGAAAAAAAGAGAGAAAAAAGGGAAAACTAAAAAGTTGACCGGAAGAAAAGAAAGAGTGAAATAGAGTGATAAAAAAAAGAAGGGCGAAACCTAGTAAAATTAACAGAAATGAGAAGGCTATGAAACGGAGAGGAAAAGAGACAAATTAATAAGGTAAGAGGGGAACATAATGAGGGAAAGAGAGGCGAGAAAGATATGGAGGAATGGAAAGATATTGAAAGAAAGAGAGAGAGAGTGAGAGAGAGAGAGAGAGAGAGATAAAAAAAGCTTTAGTTGAAAGAAAAGGGGCACCGATCAGATTTTAATAGGGGCATTTATCGGAGTTGATGGGGGCATTTATCAAAAGTGAAGAGGGGCACTTCTCGTACTTAAAGAGGGATACTTACTAGAGATTAAAAGGACACTAATGAGAATGGAAAATGGACACTTATTGTAAAGGAAAATAGGAACTCGTCGAAGGAAAAGGGGTGTGTGTCAAAAGAAAAGGAGCACTTATCAGAGTTGAAAAGGGGAAGGGTCACTTTTACAAATTAATAGGGACACTTGTCAAAGTAAAATAGGTACTTTTCCTACATGCAAAGGGGCACTTTGGGGGAACTTGAAAAAGTGGGGGGACACTGTGCCGCTAGCTAAACGTAACTCAAAGACAGTTGGCCATTCACTTATTCTATTCATTCTCGGCTTGCAACTGTTCCCTACACTCTGTAGCCAGTGGCTTACATACTTACGTACATGTAATACCTATTGTTCAAGGGGATCCTATGTTCAAGGGGAACCCCCTGAACAATAGGTATTATGTAAGGATCTCTGCCTGTAGCTAGGGCAACGGGCTTTGTCCCCGGCGAGGGTCAATGGCAGGCCACATTCAGAGTAAGCTTCTTTTGTATGTGACAGGAAGTGTGCCCTTAAGCCTTGACCGTAGCTCTTTATACATATAGCTGAATAATGCAATGTTGTAAAAGGTAATTTACGAAAATGAGGAACGCTAAAAAAGCAATAAGTGATCAAAGTCTAAGGCCCGAATTCACAAAGGAGGTTTGTCGACAAACATTGGTTTTCGTGCGTCATATGACGCGTTTTTACAAACCAGGTTTGTAAAATGGATAATGATTGAATAAAAAAAGTATAACGATATTCATAGTAACGAATGAGCTGGTGAACGGTAATTCTAATTGGTACAGCCTTGTAATGTAAGAGTATCACAACATACTTAATTATGTTAGCCCTCCTTTACATTTTGTAATCATTTTTACTTATTTACAACTTAGGAATAACAAAATTCCCCCCTTCCTTCGTCGTTCATCGCTTTTTTCTTTTTGTCTCACCGAGGATTAAATCCGAGAGTGCTTTTCGGGAAGTGGACTGATTTTTTTAACTTTCAAACATTCTATAATAAAACTAGAGACAAGACACTGCAATTAAAAATATATACAAGAGAAAGAAAGCGTAATCTTCGCTATCCCCTCGTATCGTCCACGTTGTCCTCGTTCAACCAAGAAGTAACTTCTTGCTTTTACTGAACTAGACGTCCTTAACCTGCTCACCATCACCACTGAAAATAAATTGTAACACAATTCCAGCGAGCAATCGAATCGTGTAAATTTTGAATCGTGTAATCGTGTTGCGGAGATTTTCGGCGGGCAGATTACACGATTACACGATTCGACCTAAATTGAGGAATCGTGTAATTTTACACGATTACACGTTTACACGATTCAAATTTCGCTTCATTGGCAAAAAACGAATCGTGTAAAAATAAATGGTTACACGATTCCCGCGAGCAGTCGAATCGTGTAAATTTTGAATCGTGTAAATTGTGTTGCGGAGATTTTCGGCGTGTACTGTAAGAACTGATGGAGACTGCCTGATTCTAAGTGGTAAATCATTCCAACATGGATGAATTTGTCATATTTGAAACCAATCTCTTTATATGGAAACCCAACCATAATAACAGGTTGCTCTAAAGAAAGTCAGAAAATTAGAGGAGCAGATTTGTTTCAGTGTGACTGATATTGGACAAATAATATGTACATCGTTAATGTTTGAAAGACGTAATCAATAGACATAAATGCACCTTAGATTTGTGGGAGAATCATGCCACGTTGCTGACGCTATTCTTTTTTATTCTTTCCTATCTTTCAGCCGTCTGATCTAAAGAAGAGAATAGAGAGTCTCATCGATCGGGATTACATGGAGCGTGACAAGGACAACCCCAACCAATATCACTACGTTGCATAAACCCTGCAAGACTTGTACAGAGACTAACCAATGTATCCCCTCCTAAGGGGAATGTTAGATAGTGGAAAGAGAGAAAGAAAAACAAGCGTGCTGGATGGAGAACAATTTGTGAAATGTTGATTGTAATTGAATTCTTGACTTACAAGGTGAATTTCGTCCTGCCTGGCTCCTCTCATGGATACCTGCGCTCAAAGCAAGCAGAAAGGATTGCGAGATCTTGTCGGATATTCAACAGAAACGCGAGCGATTATTTTATTTCTTCTACTTTCACTGACGATGAATATTTTGATGTTATATTTTCATCTGATTGCACAGTCACTCATCGTTTGAAAGGGACTATTTACTTGCAGATATTTAATAGAGGGAAGGGAAGGCATTGTACTATTGATAATTATATTTTTTACCAAAATGACAGAATGATTGCGATAAATATACCCCCCACTTCAATGGTCTTTATGGCATATATAACGTAAGTCTTGTTCAGATATGCATCGTTACACCGCAGCATTTTTTCCCTCATTTTTCTGATGTCATAAAGTGTAATACACTTCACATTACTGTATCTTGCAACGCAGAGCTAAGTCAACATGTGTTTTACTCAGTTGCCATTTATTTACTCATTGCGGAGGTTTACCTGGGACCTGTTTCACAAAACTTGTCATTAGTGACAAATGACAGTTTTTGTTATAAGCAACTGAAATCCTTGCTACTGATTGGTTATCAGCAGATTTGTCACTGATATTTGTCATTTGACATTGAAAAAAGGCTTTGTGAAACAGGTCCCTGGTCATATCTGAACAGGCCTTAAGAGGTACTTTTTAACATTTTTTGTTTGTTTTTTGTGTCGATACATAGAGCGAGAATCTAATGTGGAATATTGCAAAGTTGAAGCAACGGGATCCTTGGTTACTAAGTCACATTTTAAAAGAAACTCTCCTTCATTTGTTTTCTCATTTGGGAATGCAAATCAGAAACCTCCCATGAATCTTGTCGTTCTCTACAAAGTTAATTTGAGAAAATGCCTGTCTTAATATCAGCCCACTACACTTTTGTCAGATTTTGCATCATATCGTTTTAAATGTTACAAAGGTAAGATTGTTTGGTAAGAATTGATTCTCTTTGTTTTTCATGAATGTGGTGAAGCATAGATTTATGCCCCAAAGAGTCTGCAATGGAGTAAACTTGTGATGTCCACTTTTAAGAGTGGACTGAGAAATCGAGAACCTTTAAACCACCTAGAAAAAATAACCCAGCAAAAAAGAAAAGGGGAGAAGAAAACCAAGACGTCAGGGTGTTGGTCGCTTGACATACCAGTATCTGAGACATCACAGATGAGATGAGAAATTACATTAATGCCTTTGTAGCGCCAGCTAAAGACCTGCCAACCAGTACGATTTTTAGAAAGCAAATACGACAGTAAGATTTTCAAAAACAAAACAAAACAAAAAGGCAAAATGCCCATTCTCTCTTGTAAAGTATCCTACAAGCATCTCACATTAGCAATTTGGAGATGTTCATTGGTTCATCGAAATCATGCATATTCAACTAATGTTCCATTAAAAAAATTCTTCCTATATGTAGGAATTGTAAGAGACATTGATCCGCGTAACACTCTGTGTTTATTTAAAATACAACTTATGGGATTTAAGAATGCAGTTTTTGAACTCCAGAGGTTGGCAGGTCTGCAGCTTTTTTCTCCCCCCTCCCACATTATTAATTTTGTATACCTATACATATATATATATATATATATATATGTACATGTATAAGTTTTCCACAACGCTCTATTAAACGGTTTATAAGTTGTATGTGAACAAGGCTTAAGTGTCTTTGTTGGGTGCTTTTACAAGTGTAGTGAGTCTTGATTCTGTATCTCACATGAGGTGAGTTTACACTATCTATACAACATGTGCATGTAAAAGCAAGTGAATTCTGTGCGTAATTTGAAAGCAAGTTAAGCTACTATATTTATTTACTCCCTGTAGCTGGTTATATCAAGACTTGCTTCATCACATCGTTATTCACCATTACAGACTGGCATCACTAGACCACTTTGACCTGGTAGGGGAGGGGGTGACGTACTGAATTAGCTGACAAGATAGCCCCCAGCCCCCCTCCAAGTTTGTGAATAAGCGAAAAAAAGAAAATCCTTCCCCTGAAAACAAAATACATCTATTTGCAAACCTGGCTCAAAACATTTAAATTTTCTGCTAACAGCACCAGATTTTCAGTTTTAGGAAGAGGTCATTCTCCCCCTCTTGGGATGCCTATTGTTTGCCTCTTGTATTACCATTATGCAAATCTTATTCTCATTTCTCTGATTTCTCTAACTAATTATCATTGGTGTTATTTTTGATCCCATCACAGTATTGGGGATAGGTACGTTTGTTGTGGTATCAAATAAGGGCAGTGAGGCATCATCTTCTGATACAGATTCAATCAGTTTGAAAGCCACCTCTTTTAATTAATTGAAATGTACTAGTCCAATTATTTCATGTTCCTTGACTATACTAACTAATTGCACGTATATACCTAAATAATGTGAGCAACGAGAGGTCTCCCCCCTTCCAAGTTCAATATTCCAATAGGAGTAACAAGGCCATCGGGTCCTCTCGATTGCATTCAGGCTGTCCTCGCAACAAATGCACACAGCTAAAACAATGGAAACCATGGGCATTCATTCGCAGGGGATAGAGGTGTGCAGTCTATTCCACTTTTGTATAACAACCTTTTTTTACCATAAAAAAAAAAGGTTGTTACATTGCACGCTCATGCACATATAAGGAAATGTTGAGGTTCATGTGATTCTTTTTCAACCAAAAGGATACTCGCTTACAAATACCCTAGTATATATTGCATTATACCAACGCCAGTAGTATATATTTTTGATATATTGATTGCTATGAGAGGCATTGCTGTTTCTATAGGCGCGCCTCAGCGTTTTAGCAGGATGTAATGTCCCCGAGATCCAGTATAGAAACAGCTATGCTTCAAATATTAAAGCAGTCCATATATCTTTTAAATACCGAATTCAAAAACAAATCTACAAAGAATTCTTACGTTATCCTTTTCTTGAGTAAAGACTGGTTAAAACATCACAGCAAATCTAAGACACTGTATGTAAATCTTCGCTGGAAAGTTGCCTGAATTTATCGATCATTCAGGAATTGCAGCCAAAAGCACTGTATTCGGTATTCGGGCTCTCACAAAGAAACTTTTTACACATATTTCAGCAAAATTTATTTATGCGGCCAGTTACCAGGGACAACGGGAAAATTAATATATACTTGATTTATACCCAAAGATGTGCTTGTGTGTAATTCCCTTTCCCATAATTTCATAATTGATCTCTCAAAGTTTTTTCCTTTTCCTAGTGTGATAAATGAGAAAACTAATATCATTTGGCTAACGTTTGTATTAAATATAAGAATTTGATGAACATTCAAGAATTAAAATATAGATATGTGACGAATTATTTCATCTGTTATTTATCCTTGGTTGTTTGAATATGTTTGCAGAAATTACTGTAACAGCTTGGGGAGTAATAATTCCTCTCACACCACTTGCAATCTTGAGTTCATTTTGGTAAATGGATGAGAAGTCCTTTGATACAAGAAGGAGGAAGAGGAAAATGAGAAAGAACGTGAGAAGAAGAAAAAGAAGAAGGAGGGAGAAGGAGAATAAGAAGGGAGAATAACGAGGGGAAGACAGAAAGCAAAGAGGAGAAGGAGGAGAAGAAGAAACAGAATTTAGAGGAAGACAATAAGAAGAGAAGAAGAAGAAGATGAGGAGGAGAGGAAGACAGAATAAGAAGAGAAGAGAAGAACAGAATAAGAAGAGAAAAGAAGAAGAAGATGGAGGAGGAGGAGAGAAAGACAGAATAAGAAGAGAAGAGAAGAAGAAGAAGATGAGGAGGAGGAGAGGAAGACAGAATAAGAAGAGAAGAGAAGAAGAAGAAGATGAGGAGGAGGAGGAGAGGAAGACAGAATAAGAAGAGAAGAGAAGAAGAAGAAGATGAGGAGGAGGAGGAGAGGAAGACAGAATAAGAAGAGAAGAGAAGAAGAAGAAGAAGATGAGGAGGAGGAGAGGAAGACAGAATAAGAAGAGAAGAGAAGAAGAAGAAGATGAGGAGGAGGAGGAGGAGGAGAGGAAGACAGAATAAGAAGAGGAGAAGATGAGGAGGAGGAGAGAAAGACAGAATAAGAAGAGAAGAAGATGAGGAGGAGGAGAGGAAGACAGAATGGGATTAGGAACTGACTTCGGATATGCTCAGAGGGGTTCCAAATATATAGGCAGAGCCCATAGTTTTCTAAAAGGGCCCTCAAAGTGAGGGGGGATGCCCCTGGCATAAATCATGCTCCGATGGGGCTCCATACATAAGGGCAGTGCCCCTAGGTTTTATTCATGCTCTGAGGGACTCCTAAACATAGCTTATTCCACAGTTTTGGACCCATGGCTGAGAAAGCCCGTTCACCCCAAGCATGTTTTATTCTGGGTGTATTAAGTAAATAGTGTGTCTGATGAGGAGCGAAGACTTCGTGTGGGGTTGTATTATACCCAAAGATGTGCTTGTGTGTAATTCCCTTTCCCATAATTTCATAATTGATCTCTCAAAGTTTTTTCCTTTTCCTAGTGTGATAAATGAGAAAACTAATATCATTTGGCTAACGTTTGTATTAAATATAAGAATTTGATGAACATTCAAGAATTAAAATATAGATATGTGACGAATTATTTCATCTGTTATTTATCCTTGGTTGTTTGAATATGTTTGCAGAAATTACTGTAACAGCTTGGGGAGTAATAATTCCTCTCACACCACTTGCAATCTTGAGTTCATTTTGGTAAATGGATGAGAAGTCCTTTGATACAAGAAGGAGGAAGAGGAAAATGAGAAAGAACGTGAGAAGAAGAAAAAGAAGAAGGAGGGAGAAGGAGAATAAGAAGGGAGAATAACGAGGGGAAGACAGAAAGCAAAGAGGAGAAGGAGGAGAAGAAGAAACAGAATTTAAAGGAAGACAATAAGAAGAGAAGAAGAAGAAGATGAGGAGGAGGAGAGGAAGACAGAATAAGAAGAGAAGAGAAGAAGATGAGGAGGAGGAGGAGAGAAAGACAGAATAAGAAGAGAAGAGAAGAAGAAGAAGAAGATGGAGGAGGAGGAGAGAAAGACAGAATAAGAAGAGAAGAGAAGAAGAAGAAGATGAGGAGGAGGAGAGGAAGACAGAATAAGAAGAGAAGAGAAGAAGAAGAAGATGAGGAGGAGGAGGAGGAGAGGAAGACAGAATAAGAAGAGAAGAGAAGAAGAAGAAGATGAGGAGGAGGAGGAGAGGAAGACAGAATAAGAAGAGAAGAAGATGAGGAGGAGGAGGAGAGAAAGACAGAATAAGAAGAGGAGAAGATGAGGAGGAGGAGAGAAAGACAGAATAAGAAGAGGAGAAGATGAGGAGGAGGAGGAGAGAAAGACAGAATAAGAAGAGGAGAAGATGAGGAGGAGGAGAGAAAGACAGAATAAGAAGAGAAGAAGATGAGGAGGAGGAGAGGAAGACAGAATGGGATTAGGAACTGATAAATCCTTATCGTCTTTGTCGGCTACCGCTCGCGTGCCTGAGTAAAATCAAACCGGACTTACGTCTACTAATCCTTTGTTTAATATGAGCCGTGTAACGTACACCGCTTAATTACTATCCGCATATTTAATGAGAGTACAAGAGGAGATAATCTTCTTTCATCACAATTCAATAGTAATCCATGTTTTTATGTAATCTTAACTCCGGCTTAATCCTTGTGTCGTGAGTCTGTAAAGAAATAGCCTTTTGAAAACCGTGTGCACCATTTGTAAGAAAATTATCTAATGTGGCAATATAGCTTCGGATATGCTCAGAGGGGTTCCAAATATATAGGCAGAGCCCACAGTTTTCTAAAAGGGCCCTCAAAGTGAGGGGGGATGCCCCTGGCATAAATCATGCTCCGATGGGGCTCCATACATAAGGGCAGTGCCCCTAGGTTTTATTCATGCTCTGAGGGACTCCTAAACATAGCTTATTCCACAGTTTTGGACCCATGGCTGAGAAAGCCCGTTCACCCCAAGCATGTTTTATTCTGGGTGTATTAAGTAATAGTGTGTCTGATGAGGAGCGAAGACTTCGTGTGGGGTTGTATTTTGAAACAGAGTTGCTCAGGTATGCAGGGGAAGAAAGAGAGTAAACTGAATGATGTACAAGTAACATAATTTTAAAAATAATCCTTTTTTC